CCCCCAGCAAACCACCAAACCAAACCAACAACTGCTTGCAGAAATAAGGTACAACCAGACTTTTCTCATTAACTGGACTAAGGGTAGGGAAATGGCATGGTGTAAAGTCAGAGATAACCATACTGCAGAAACTGAATAAATGTGAGAAAATGTGTATTAAAATATGCAGGCACTAGAAAGCATCACAAACTTCGGTCTCATTTAATCCATCATATAATTGCCACTACTGGCATCAGACAGAAACCACTTGTAAATCCTTCTTTGCCAATGTGAGAAAATTAGAACAGCCTGAATTCTTAAAGATAACAGGACTTTGGGGGGTTTGATAGCCATATGAAATAGCTTTCAATATAATACAAATATGTAAGAAAATTAATCATCACCTTCAAAGGTTTAATCTGGTCCAATCCCATATATGAATCCGATCTTAAATAAACTGTGTACTGATAGTTTCCAGGCTTGCCTGGTGCTGGGAACTTCAGCTCTACCTACAAAACAGAATCCATGCCGTAAGTTCTTAGGGCTTTCAAGTGACACGTTAGAACAAGTACCTGAATAATCTAATAATCAATAAACACTACTACAGAATAATATTTTTTCTTAAAAAGTTTTAGTTTCCTACAAGTGACACTTCTTTGAAAAAATCTCTAAATAATAAAATATCCACAGAAAAGAGACAGAATTCCCAAGCACAATACCTTCTAAAAAAGCTGAATAATCGAGTCATATTTTTCTGAATTAGACCAAGTAATTCTACCTTAAGTACACAATTTCAGCATGATATGCTCCCTAAATCTCAAACCCCAAACAGGTTAAAATATTTAGTCTGCTGAAAGTATTAACTCTACTGTTATTTGAAATTGAACATAAAATCTAGTTTGAAAGAACAAAACACATCAAATCTCCATTTCTCAGAAAAGTAAAGAACACATCCAAAGGCTACAGTCTGAGAAAGGTTCATATGAACCGAGGCTAATTAATTTGTCATAGCCTCTGCTTTACAGGAAAAGAACACTTAGTACTTCTCACACATTTGAATAACTTGCTTTAAGAATGATCATTGTGTATGAATCCTGGTTTTCATTAGCTTTTGATATCAGGAAAAAAAAAAACAAAACATTCTCCAAAGAAACTTGAAAGTCTTCATAAATTATCTTTTCTTTCTCCATTATCCATTTTCACAGTTAAAAGGCTCTTCTCTACTTTTATCAGGAGAGTAAAATTTGTCTTCCATCTTAAGAGATAAGTATGAAAAAATTAAAATTAAATTTATTTGCATACCAGAAGACACTTCAGTACATTTTTGTAATACCCCAGAAGAAAATTCAAATACTTTACCTCTTCTTTATCTTTTAGTGTACAAACGTGGTATGGCATACATATTAGCATCTGCTCCTTCCGATCTGCAATATATAGCCACCACCATTCTTGTTTTTCCTTTCATAAAACAAACAACAAAAAAACCCAACATCACTATCACAGGATTACTGAAGTTATATAAAATGATGCCCCTACACTTTATAACAGGTAATTATGGTTTGCTGCTCCTTAGAATACAGAAAGAAAGGAGGTGGTTTGTGTTTGGTGGGGTTTTTTTTGGGGGGGTGGGGGGTTTGTTTTTTGGATTTATTTTTTTTTTTAAACTCCTGGATATGTATGAATAAAATATATTGCACGCTGTAAACAAACAGGTTCTCACAAGTAACTGCTGGTCTCCAAAGCCTTAATTCCATATATTCATGTGAGACATGGAATCATTCTGAAGAATTGTGTCCACTGATGATTAACAAGCAACTTCATGCAATATAGTACTACCTTAGGTCCTTCAACAGAAATCCAGCCTGGACAAAAAGGTCAGCATATGAAGCAAGGCATACCAAAAGACTGATAATCTACTTGTCCCAGTAAACAATCTTTTTTAGGAAAGCATCCTTTGCCCCACTACTTCTCTCCCAGTCCAAAAAGTGGGAATCTGCTCAGAGTTAGAATTTAAACATACCAAGATTTCACTACAAGGAAGTATGAACTACAGGCAATATCGATATTTGTAACGGACACCCTACAACTGCTACTATCACACACAGCTTTCAAAATAACTACAGGTCTCAAAAGTCTTGCCACTGTAGGCACTAAAGCAGAGCTCCCAAACTAAATGAAATTAAAGAAGTGCAGTGCTTCATAAAGAACAGCAACACTGCACAAAAGAACAGTTTAACCCTCAGTCAGTCAGATTTTTAAGACTGTGGTGCATTTTATGACAGCTACAAGTCAAGCTCCAAAACCCGAGGCCAATTTTTATGTATTTACACCACCAACAACCAGGTAGTTGTTCAGTGACATATAAAAGTGGTTCTTCTGTTTTCTTTCATTTTTTAACAGCATTAGGGGGACTTAATGAAAGGATACAGTGAACTTTAGTACCACCACAGAGCCCCTTCCAAATTTCACAGGTGGAAAGCAAATGCTTTTAATATGAAGAATTTGAAGATTTTGTGTCTCTACCGAGAGTCAAAAGTTCAGGAGTTTTGGTGTGTGGTTTATTTATTATTTTTAAAACATTTCAAAAGCAATGTTTGGCATAGTGAAATTTAAATAATGCAGGTTGAAAAATTACAGAAGCTAAATTAACCCCTTTTCTCTTTTGAAATGCCTAATTGTTATGCTAGTAATAATTATCACCATCTCACTAAAATATTCAACTAGAAAACTACAGATTTACAACAGCAAGACACTCACACCAGCAACCGAATACCCTGATTAGCACTGTTAAGTCCCAGGGCAGAGAAGTGTAAAATTAACTTAATATGCTAATGGACATTTTACAGTGTATAAAAGTAAAAGCAACTGCATCACAGTAAAGCAACAGCATTCCTTCATGTATTTAGAACACCAAGCACTGAGAACAGGACAAAAATCTATTCAATACACTATTTAAGACCAGAATTTGTAGAACTATATGAAGTCTTTTCTACAACTATTCCAAGTAACTTTCTTTATGAAAAACCATCCCATGTGATTACAAGACATGTTATTTTATCTGTAAGTTTCAACAATAAATATATTGTCAATCTGCTTGACAGCTGTAGCAAAGAAGTATCTTATGTAGTCTAAGTGTTTATTTCCTAGCCAAGGAGCCTCTAGGAATAGAAGGATAAACAGTATAAATAGTACAGATGAACAAGAACTACAGAAGCTAGATCCTTTACAGAAATGGCTACTCGCCATTTTGGGCCTATAAGGTCTCTGACCACAGAAAAAAGGATCTGCATTTGTATCAATATGTTACTGTTGATGTCAGCAAAACACTGTGCTGACTTACCATACATTGTGTATGTTTCCATCACTCTCAATAGCAAGGAATTTTTTTTTTTTTTAGAACAAAGTTCAAAACTGTCAAGTAGATTTTCACAAAAACTAGTAAAAATAACAGCCAAGAGGGGAAAGAAATACCAAAACAAATAACATTCATCGATCTAATGCTCAAAGGAATCTATAGAAGTAAACTCTTTGGAAGTAAAGCTCCTGACCCTGAAGTGTCACTGCTTTTTTTATAGAAAGGACAACTGTGCAGGAGTGTCATTTTCCTCTCTCTTATTGGGTGGAATTTAAAGTTTATGCCTGTGAGAATCTGGCAAGCTAACAGGCAAGCGGGCAAAATGCCCTTTAACAGATGGGTGCAAGCTTTGGCATGCCAGGGAACCAGTATGTTCATGAAATTGGAACACCAGGGCCAGTTTCTACCTAAAAATGTCAAAACTACAATCTGTGCAGTTTCTGGATCCATGGATGCAGGAGCAGAAGATAATTATTTAGGAACCTGCATAGATTAAAGATGCATCTCTGGCAGAGTAATCAACTGCCCAAAAACTTAAGATGAAACAGTGTTAAGGCTACCTACTGAGAACAAGTATATTAGTCTCAGCTACATTCAAAACATCCATAAATTCTGGAAATACAGAGATTAACACAACTACAACATTTTATCCTTAACTCTGCATCTCTGCACTGGCCATGACACAATACTCCTAAATCACAGATGAAAACACCACCCAGAGAGTACGATGGATTTTGTTCTTCAGAAGTTGGAGCATGTTCAGATAGAGCTGATTTACAACTGCAGCGACAGCACCAAGTACAGCTGCATTCAACTTTCAGGAAATCAGTGAAGTGAGGTTGGAAAATTTACAACTGCAGTACCATGAGAGAATACATGTGTATCTTTTCAAGTTCAAGCATTCAACTCAGCCCTAGATTATTTCTTTTTAACACAGTAGTGTATTTATGATAAAAACCCACCAGCAGCTTAAGCAGCTCTGGACAGAGTAAGTACAAGCAAAGTCTCTGAAGGAACCTCAGCACAGTAAAAAACGAACAAATAGTTGGCACCCCTGTGGCACTGGGCATAGCACATACTCACTGGCTGAGCTTAGACTGATGACCAAAGCCAGCTGCATTTGCAGCAAGAAGGTATTAAGACACTGCTGCATATTTCACATGATCTAAGGCAGCTGGAAGAGCAGAATGCCAGTACACCTTTTTCTATTATACTGGTGTTCTGCTGGAAGCTGTAATGAGAGATGAGAGGGTACCTAACAGTGTCAGGAAAACACAACAAGATCAGCCATTGCAAAACTAGATGTCATGAGGCCATACAAATTTCAGCTCCAGCCTCCAGGAAAACAATTTCTTTGGTTTACTTGTGTATCTTGTCTGGCTCCTTAGCAACAGGTCTTACTTCCCACACTTTGCTTTCTAATGATGGCAGAACTAGGTAAAAAGAGCAGAAACAGTATGATGACAAGTATGGGAACAACAGAGTATATTTTGCACACACTCTAAAGGCACAGACATAACAAGCTCTATAGGGCATAGACATAAAGAGCCTTGGGAACTGAAAAGAGGTAGTAAATATACAGTGTCTTCCTTTTTTCTCATGTTTTCCTGTTGTTCCTTGTCTCAGTTGTCTCCTTTAAACCACAAGGGGAAGCATAAGCCTCGCATCCCACCTCCCTGTTATTGGAGATAGCATAACAAGAGAGAAGAGATCCTAGATTAGTTCCCTCATCAGACAGCAGAGAAGCTAAGGAAACCCTCTGAATCACCGGCCTGGGAAGAAAGCAGGGCCAAATACTCTTTCCTCCTGGCTCCAATGTGGTTGCTTCCCACAGACTTAACTTACTTGCTCAGAACACAAAACACACACACTTTGAAAAACCCCATCTTTTTCGAGGTTTCACTGCTGTAATGGGTTTTCGACACCTGTTGAGTGGTTAGCTGTTTGTGTAAGTAACAACTGATATATTGGAACATACTTTCAACAGCAAAGGCTGCTGTAGAGACACCTCAGCCTCTCTACTATACTGAGTCACCACTCAAATACATCCCTTTCTCTGATACCCATCCACAGCTGATCTGTTTTTGAGCTCTATAGGAAAGATTATTCCACAATTGCTTCAACCACTTCCAGACTACACTGTGGTAGAAAGACAGCTTTGCCAACCCTCCCCATCTTCCACAGCTGCACACTGTGTGGCCACTACACTGTTGCATTGAGACTTGAAGTCAAGCAGCAAGCCAAAACAATCAGCTGATCCAAATGACCCCCAAAGTCTCCTGTCATTACTGTTAACACAAGAGGGATCGGGACCTCCACTTCTCACAGGCCCTTGCAGTTAGATAAAGAACAAGTAACTCTACCCTTAAGTCTAAATTAGAGCCACTGATGTGCTTTCACATTTGATAGCAAAAAAAAAAAAAAAAAAAAAAAAAAAAAAATCTATGTATCTGAAAGGCCTCATTCTGGAATCTATATGTAGCAGATCAGCAAAAAACACCTTCATCATTATTGCCATCAAAAAAGAATCTTAAATTCTATAGTTTACAAGTCAGAAAAATACATTAAGTTTTTAGGAAAGTATCTGAAGGTGTTTAAGAGGATTTTATAAATTAAGACTTTTTAAAATGAACATTAGCAATTTTTTAAAGTATTAGATGTTTTTTATAAACCTAGTAAAAATACAAAAAAGCAATTAATTTGAATTATATTAATTCTCATGTTGCACAACTAATGTTTTCTATTACTGACCTCAGGAAAAAAAAGACTGTAAACAGGATGTGTTATCTTTGACTTCGTTTCAAGAAGGGCTCGTTCCTTTCTCTGTATACTTTGCTGTAATTCTTGCCACTCCTGCCAAAGACAAGTTTAAAGAGTTACTGTGCATTAGCCATCTTTTGCAATAAAAGTGCTATTTTAGTCCATAGAAATGATATGTATGACAAGTTGTTGTGCTACACTACACATTATAACAGGAAAAGGCAGTAGAGATTAAGTTATACAGTATGATTAAAAGAAAAAAAAATAAAAATCAAGCAATATTAAAACTAGAGACCATTCACGTAAATATTTTAAAAAAACACAAAAAACCCAACACAGATCTGTGGGGCTTGCACACATCCTTCAAAACTCCCTTCTACAGCACTGCCTATAATCACTCACTACCTGAGCTGTAAGAGTTCTGATTACAAGCTTCATGATTCAATTCCCATCAGAAGCTTATTCTTACCCTGTAAAGGGCTTCCAGCTGTCACTCTCAAGTCTTCCACTATAAGACCTGTGGGGCAGAAATCATCTACCACCACAAGGCTTCATTCTCAATTACAATTACAGTTTCAAACAACTAACTAATTATTAAGTTACTAGAGTTTAGTAGGCACGTGTACAAGTTCATTCAACTACTGCGTGCTTATAGTATGCATTATGCAGTACAAAACAGCCTCTGCATATAAAGAACAAAGTTCAAAGGAGAGACTTTGTCTCACAAAATCTGCAGCAGCTAGTAATCAAATTCAGCTGAAAGAAGCATTACAATCTTTCACTGAAGTTAAGCTGTTTTTCTCGTCATTTTTGAGTTTTCTGTCTATGCTGCAAAGATCCTTCACTGCTCTCTGAAACAGACTTGCAGTGACAAAGATCTTATGCTGGAACTAGGACTGAAAACCCCTGGAGAACTGATATTACTCCTTCATCCTAGTGTTGCCTAGCCTGAGGGGATGCTAGAGGATTAAAATGCATTTTCTCTCAACCCCAGAGGCAACATTACCCTTCAAGAAAGAGTAAGGCTTACAGCTTCATCATCTTTGTTTTGCTTCTCATCTTGTTCTCTGTCAGAGTCTCTGTCACTTCCATCATCTTTTTCACTCTGAGAGTCCCTGTTTGTTTCTTCTTCTTCAGATTCACTTCCTTTATCAGAGATGTCCTCCTCTTCTTCCTTTGCAACTACTTCCTAATGGGAAAGAAAAAAAACCAAAACAAAACCTTCTAACTTAGTTTGTCTGCATTATTGTAGTATGCAGCATTCACAGCACCTGCCTTAAGGTCATAGCCCTTGTTTCTTATTTTGATCTACACTCTTCTTGTGTCACACAGTATACCTACAGTGAAGATTAATCCTTTTCACCTCATGTGCTAAGAGGAGCAAGGAAGCAATTTTCCTTCTCCATATGACACCCATAACATGAATAGGAGAAAACAGTATTTGATTCTGGGGTCGCATTTCAAAAAATTGTAAGAAAATTAGAGAAAAATATAAAAAAGTACCTACAACATAGCCCATGAGGTGGAGAAAACACCATGCAGTGGGAGCATAAAGGTAGTAAAGCTACTTAATTTACCAGAAGAAAGACTAATTTCTTTTTTTTTTTTTCCTTTAAAGGAAAATTAGAAGGTACAGAACAATTCACCAAGAACTAATACGAAAGGACTATGAAGTCAGACTTCTAAAGCAGTTGGGCACAACTTTCAGCAGGCCACTGTGGAAACATTACTATGGTGGTTCCCTGATTATTTTACCAGTAGTTTTTAAATCTAAAAGAAAAAAATTCTGTTTCAAGAGATATGTTTTACAAAAGCACAGAATGAATGCAACAGACATATAAAAAACCTATCAGATTAGGACTGATAAACTCAACAAAATACTAAAATATCAATGAATCTATGAGCTACCCCATTAGCTTGTTTTTGCTTCTGCTGTTTTGGTGGCTGCAATGAAGGTGGCACAGGTTTCTTTTTCAGTGGCTTCTTTTTCTTTGATTTTGAAGCTTTCTTGGTTCCTTTATTCTTTTGCTGCCATCCTTTGCTCTTAACTTTGTTGACATCTCCTTGCTGTAAGAAAGCAGTATTTAAAATATTGATTCAGTTCATTAAATTTCAGGCATTCACTGTACTTTAAGCATTTTAAGCACATAACCACAGTTAGAAAGCATAGCTCAAGAGACACTTCAATAGGCATTTCTGAAAAAAATGCTTGAGAGGTACACAATTAGCAACTCAAGATCTGAAAGAAAGTTCTCTTTAGCTAACAAGAGAAACAGTCATTCTTCGCTTACCCCATCTTCTGTTGGTTGCTCTTCTGCTGCACATATAGACTGTTCCTTTTCAAACACTTCCTGGTTAGAGAAAGATATGAAAACTATTAATGCCTCTCTGTACCGAAAGAACAAATCATTATTTTATATTTGAACTTAAAACTAAATCACCTTAATCAGGTCTGAAGGTTTTACTCATTACGGCAAATTCTTTTATCAGTGACAAACACGACAGGGGATTAACAGATCAAAATTAAACACCATTTCAAACATTTGGTCTAGTATTTTTTTCCATCACTAGCATTATAAAGAAATTTAGTAACAACATGTCATCTTGTTCCAAATAATCCACTTTTATAAAGCATAGAAATCCCGTATCACAAAAGCAGGCAGTAGTAAAGTACAAATTCTGCTCCAGTTGCCAGAGCATTAAAAACTTCAACAGCTGCACTGCTACTCAGGGACACAGGACAACAAATCAAACCAGAAATATGAAACGTTAAGACAAAACACAATGTCAGTATTATGTAGACTAGAACATCTCTATGCAGATGGGATTTGTTCATGCATTTCTTTCTTCAAATCATACTGTAGGCCATTTAAAAATCAGTCATAAGGAGTTGTCTTTATATAAAGATGGCAAATATGAGATACCGCCACAAAAAAGGCATCATATAAAAGGACAGTTCTAGTTTTTAGGTCATGTATTTCAATGCCAGACTGCCTAGTGGAGTTCACATAGAAAGCATCTTAAATGAATTTTCTATATGCTGTCAGATGTTTTAATTTCCAAGTACAGTTCAATATACTCACAATTTTCAGTTTGCTTCACTTTTAAGATCCAGCATAGTAATACAGTGCTTTTACTTTCTACCTACTGCATCCTCAGCTATTGAGATGATGCATTCTGAAATTCCATAGCATGAACACACAGTACTTATACAGACTGCTTTCTGCTGAACTGGCTACTCAATGGCTACTCAGATGCTCAGTTGTAGTACTCATGCTTGTATGCCTTGCCTTAGACGCATAGCTCAGACTTCCTGTTTACAAAGACAATTACCTGAATAATATAGATGCAAAAAATAACACTGTAGACTTTGTCAGGTTTAGTTTGTTTAGTTTATGTGCATAAATTTTTTTATTCAAAGAAAGTCATTACTGGTTTTTAACCTAAAAAACAAGCACAGGTTTAACTACTAGGGTATCGTATTATTTTGGTTATGCCACATGGCTACCCATTCAGCAGTCCATTTTCTTCATGTGGCACTGGTCTACTTCCTTTATATTATGTATATTCTGCATTCTGTTGGACTGAGTTTCTTTCATAAAAGCGTCTAAAACACCCAAGAGATTTGTAACATTATGAGCCCATATAAAGTGAAATCAAACACTGTCCCAAGGACTTGAGTGAATACTTTATTCTAGTTCAAGAACTAAGTTTCTGAATGTGTCTTTTCCTGACATACAAACCTCAGGGCAGTATCGCTTGCCATATTCTTTTACTGTTCCCTAGACAACTCTAATGGGTCAGACTGAACTTTGGTTTGATTCCAGGAAAACTTTCTCATTCAGAAACAAAAACATAAGGGAGGATTAAGAGCACAAGTTCTCAATTTCAAATCTTAATTTTACAGATATATTTACAATATACTACATTAGCTTGCAAAGAAGAAATGCCTGTTTATTAGCACATACTTGCAGTTACCCTGAAAGAACAAGTATTCTTAATACTTACTGCCATGGTCTGTCTTGTTAGTGTAACCAGAACAGTGACAAGAGAACCTACTGTAATATTGTTGCTGTCTTCATCATCCAAAACTAGTGTGAAAAGAAAAGCAACACATTTATTAAACTTCTTTAAAGCCTTTGTTTCCATTAAACATTGTTTCTGCTATGACTAAATACAAGCATAAAAATTCCAGAATTTTAAACAAAAAATTATTTCAAAATATTATTAAATAAGTCTCTTACAACCTCAAATATACTATCATGATGAGGGCTGGTAATTCAGCAAACTATAAAACAGCAACATTGAGTTTGAAATTTTAATTGCATGAAAGCTAGAAAATTCAAAGTTACAGCTGCTGTGGGAACAATAACTCTGTAATATTGTGCATTATATATTAAAGAATAAAACTTCAGAAACATGAAATACCACACGTGACCAAAGGGACCCTGTTATATTTGTTCTGGGAATCATAACTTTGATTTTCCTGACTTTCATATGATTAACAACTCAATTTCAATGCCACATTAACAACCATGCATTTAATTTTATTTTTTTTTTTTTTAAAGTAGAAGGCAAAGTAAAAAAGAACAACAATTATTATTTTAACTAAAACATCAAACAAAACCCATAAGAAAGCCACTGAGGAGTTTATATCTCCAATGTACAAACTGGAGAATGTCCCAGGTTGGGGAGGAATAGTGTTATCCCGGTGTAGGAAATTTATGGTTCCTCCCACCACCCCCCAAAAAAGCATTTTTACTATTTTACTATTCACTAGTTTTACATATATATTTTATATAATGGTAATACTGAGCTAAACAGAAAAGTATATGCATTGTGTAATCCTCCATACCACACCTGAGTACAGCTGTGTGACAAACGAAACTATAGGCAGAAAAGTGTTGCTTGCCAAAATGCAGGAAGATACTCCAAGACTGAATGAATCTTAAACAGATTAACAGGACTGTGTACAATCCTGTGCTACAACAAGTCTTCTGTTTGTTTGGTTGGGTTTTTTTAAAAACACACATAAACAACATTTAGAAACACGAAGATTAACAGACATTCGCTTCCTTAACAGGTACTATTAAATATTTGCTTCTCTCAGAGGACTATGCATAGCCAAATTATAAATTAGGCTACCCAAACATAACAGACCACATGCTGAATTTGATCATTGTAACCACAGTAACTAACAATATAAATTAGAAACAAGTATTAGAATAACCTTTCAAATATCTCACATTTACTAACACAGATTTCTCTACAAAGGAAAGAAGCCCACAGAACCAATTCACTTTCCACTGAAAGGCTGCCTAACAGGAACTGCTTAACAATATACCTAATCTTCAGAGAGGAAGAGCATTATACATTCACTGAAGCAGTATACACAAAAGGTAGCTAAGCATAGCATGGACAAATTCTGCCAGATATAAAAACTATACAAGAACTATCACAAAGGAACCTATGAATATTTAGTCATCAGGGTCTCCAACTCAAAATCTCACAAAGGACTCTCCATGCTGAAGTAAGTCAAACATAAATTCTGGAATAAGCACAACTTTTTAAGATAGCTAATAAAAGTGGTATTTCACCAGAATTCCACATTGCTCATGAAATATTAAATCAACAGATGAAATATCAGATAAATTCTTGTAGGAGAAACTACTGCTGGCTTGGGAATCTGTGAAATGTTTCAATGTACTTTATCTCCTCAGACTATAAATCTCCTGTACAAGAGCCCGCCACTCAAAAAAGTATGTAATTTCCAGGCCACATAAATAACAGAGAGTCATTTTTCAGCATCCTCCAAAATCTTACTGCCAACAGACTATCAAAATGTCAGAAGAGCAACATATACAAAACAAAAAGACCTCCCACTTACCCTGTGGTTTTATATCCATAGTGACATGCGGAAAGCTGCCAAGGACAGCCATAACTTCATCATATTTCTTATCTTCTAGGAAGTGCAGTAAATTGCGACGATCAGAACCTTTCAAGCTCACCAAATCTTGAATACTTTTGATTTTATACTGAATTTAAAAAAAAATAAATAATTAAAAATTAAGTCACATGGTAGCAGAGAACACAGTCCACAAATTCTTGATAATATAATACACACCATTCGATTTGTTCTTTTTTAAAAAAGCATACTTCAGGAAACTAGCAAGCATATGTGATGAGAAACAATAAAACAAAGAGGTTGCATTCAAACCTACTAAATAGTACTGCTTTGAACATTAGTGTGTTCTCTAGTATGTCACCACTGGATACATTTCTTATAAAACTTATTTAATCCACCTTTTTCAGAAAGCTGAGCCAAGAAATCTTACTAATCGAGTTCTTTAGATAAGAGTACTTCAGTGCTTTGAAATTTATATTAGCAAGAACAATCAAGTTACTTTTTTTTCCATACTGAACTGCAAACAAATCTAAAACCACTCGTTTTAAGGTTTGCAGAGCGGAGCTAAAAGGATAACACACACAGAGAGTTGTCTGAATACCTGATTACCTCACTATTATAAATGTACATATTTTATTAAAACAAGTTTCATGTATCCAGGTAGAGCCATCATACCTTCAATCTAGGGGACTGTGTTTTTCAAGACCTCAATGCATAGGAATCCTGGATGAACAAGCCTCATAAATTGGCCTCTTCCCTCTTTCAGAAGAGGGACAGGCAGGACTATGAGATAGCCAAACTCTTGATTTTTTTACTCAGTTACACTGCACATGTCAAAAAATACATCTAAAACTATGGATTTTTTTGTATGCTCCCTGTAGTTTAGGCCTGGATTAAGAAAAGGAAGCATTTGATGATACCTATAAGAGAATGATTCTTTACTTCTTCCAAAGGAAAAGACTACTTGACTATTTGATGAACAAGCATCTTCAAAGGGGATTAGAAAAATGCAGTGTTTTTATCTTCACACTAACACTAAAGCATTTAAACACCCCCTAAAGCTATAGTTAAAACTAAACAAAACTTCCACTAAATAAAAAGGATATTTTTAAGATTGATCTAAATTAACCATTGTAATAAGACTATGTGAAAAGTCAACAGCTTCTACTGGAAGATAACTACTTGTTTCTAACCAGGCGTTCCCAGAAGATATACTGCCGTTAAACAAGCGAGCAGGTTTGAATACAGAGACAGCGAATGAAACAGCGTGAAGAAATGTATGCAGGTATTTAAAAAAAGACTATTCTTTTTTGTCCTTAAACTCTACAAACACCAACACTTATCCAGTTACAACTACATAGCAAGAGCTTTTACATAAGGGATCACAAAACCTGAAATACCTCCCACAGTAATCAATTTTTGTTTCCTTTTATCAACTCCTCTGTGCTACCTTCCGAATATATTTTCTATCAAACTAGATTAAGAATGATAGAAAGTCAAAAAAGCCAAAAAAAAAAGTCCCAGCAGGATATTCTAGCCACATTCTGAAAATATATTAAATAGGAGATAGTACTAGTCCTAGTAATAAGAAAGAAACTGTTTCTTCCATATATGAGGTCAACATAGACTGATCTTTTACACTCTTTTACGCTTACCAGATCTCTGATCTTAATTCCCACCTTCTAACTGTGATGGACTTTAAAGAAACAAAAAGCACACAGGTCATCTAGGAAGTATTGTACTGAATTCCAGATATTTTTATTCAATTAGTTAATTCATAACCTTACTTCCTTGTAGGCAAATAGGTAAAAGCAGTAAAAGAAAGTGTTTAAGAAGGTACCAAGTACCATTTGTAGTTTTATACCTTTTTATGATTGGAGACTCGCCTAAGATTGTCCTCTTCGATATGAGGCAGCTGCAAAAGGGGAGACTTGAACTGCTGAAGTCCCTGGACAGTCATCTGGGAAAGCTTCATGCAATTTTCCAAAGATCCCAAAGATGGAGCACGGAACTCCCTTTCTTGGGGAGAATGAAAGACACACATAATCTTTAGTTTCTTTCCTTCTTACACTTTTACAATGTATACTTGCATTACAGACTACAGAAAACCTTGTTTTCAGTCAAGCAAGCAAAAGAAAGAGGCATCTTAAAATATTCAGCATAATTAACCAAGCAGCCTTTTTACTCTCACTGCAGTCACATAGCTCAGCAGACATTTTCTTCCCTCTGTTTAGGCTACCCCAGCTGAACACTAAGAAAGGGAAAGACTTCCATCTAACATTGTCTCAGGGTACAACAGCACAATGTAACTATGCAATTATTATAGACAAAAACTCCACCATTTAAGGTTTTTTAAAAAGCAACATCAAAACCAACTTGTTTAAATTTGTATATTTTATATATATGTGTATAACATGCTTACTTTGTAAGCATATCATTATAGTTTAGCATTAAACAATCTTTTACAACACATTATTTATAAGATTTTCATCTTCAGAGATGAACATAAAGATAGCAGCCTATTACATCCAAGAAAAAACTGTAGGCATAACAAGCTAAGCAGAGCATGTGTACTATGTTAGAAGGCAGTAAGAGTAGCTATAAAAATATCAAAGGCATGGCTTTTGTAAGTAAAGCTAAAGGGTGTCTAGGCAAACACCTATTTGACTTTTCTAAAAGAAATTACCTATAATTTCTTTAATATTTTAAAGTAAAAAAGGTATACACTCTACATAATTAAAACAATTATAAGACAGACAAGGAGAAAGTCTTTACCACAACAGGGCAAATTTTTTTAAAAAAAGAAACAGTCATTTAATACTCTTCATCATGTCTACAATCAAATGAAAAAGCAAAGCAGACAGGTTTCCACATATTGTGGTTTAACTTTGTTAGACAACCATCCATTCATAAATAAGACTTCTCAAAACTGTGTTTAGAAAACTCACTTCAGAAATCCCCTGCAACTCAAGTGTTGCTGCAAGTCCAGAATTGGCAATGTTTGGGTCGCTCTATATATACTTTACCGTGAAACAGAAAAATAAATTAGAATCTCCACGGAGATCCAAGAGGAATTTAAGCTGCTCAAGTCTTTTTCTGAACTCACATGTGGCATATGAAAGAACAGAAGGCAATTTTAAAGATGTATTACAAAAGGCACCTGTAATTTATGCTGCCTGTCATTTTATTTAAGAACCAGTATACGTATTTTCCTAGACTTTAAAGCCTTTTCTGAAACAATCAACCTTTGATTACCTTGACTGTTACAGGTATATTCTGCATACAAACATAAAAATAAGTATGAATAAAATATCTCTGTGTGTATATACACAAATATATATGAATACAAATATATATATTTGGTGTGGACATATTTGGCTGGTATTGGTTTATTTGGAACACTACAACAGGGGCACAGAGGCATCTTCCAGACTGATTAGACAGATGGCCAGAAGGAATATGCCCACTCTGCTAGGGCTCTGATCAAGCTTATCACACTATCAAGGCTGTTAGAGATATGGATAAAAGCAGCTTTACTTACACCTGTCTGAGAATGCAGAAAGGCTGTAACCTGCACCTGACCAAAAGCATATCAAAGCCAATATTGCTAGATGTTTATTTTAAGTGTCAATGACCACATATTTTGATAAAAAGCAAGTTTAATTTGAAAACTTTTTACAGAGGAAATACAAAAAGGTAATAAATCTGACCCATTAACCCCCAAATTTGGTGTCTTCAGTATGTTTTCTCCTTTCTTTGTGCCATTACCTTGCTGCAAATTTATAAGCAGCTACTAGGGCATATTAAATGCGCATGAAAGATCACTGTCACCTCTGCTCCACCTGCCCCTTCCCTTCAAATGGCCTGTTTCTTCATTAATTACATCAAGCTATAAACATAATCAACTATCAAATCAAATTACGTGGCAAGACTTTAAGTCAGTATATTAATAAATACTGTGAAGATTATACACAATGCAAAGAGAAAAATACAACATGAATGAAACTATACAGCTAGACATACTGGTAAGTAACAAAGATGTAACTTCTACCTTTCAAAAAAAGAAAAAGTAATGGAAAGACTAATCTCCCAACGAAGTAGCATAAAGTTTACTTTTCATTTTACCTATCTCCCACCTCCCCTTTTAATTTTTCTGGCTGCTGCTAAAATCAGTCAAAGAATTTTTTAAATTAAAAAAACAAAACACACTGCAAACTAAGTTAATAAAAGAATCCTCAATACTCTCTGACAAACCAGCTTTTGCAGGAAATTCACCTAGAGTTTCAAGAACACAGGGTACTAGTCAGAGTAGAAATTCTTCTCTTCCTTAAAGCATTGACTCATCAACCATATGACAGTAGAAAAGTATTTTAACAAAGTTAGAGAATATTATTTTGGTTTCCTGACAGTAACACAGGACTTTATATTCCCCAAGAGGAGATTTGAGAAGAGACAGTACAGCTTTCAACACCACCCAACTGCCCTCGCCATAAAATGGATATCATTACTGCACATATTTTGACAGCTTCAGCTTGTCAAAGTGCACAAGACAAGATGACCTTTAATCTAAGGTCATAAAGTCATTCAAAACATATGACATTAAAGTAGTCAATCACATATTTAAATGCAAATCATTGTTGCTTGTGAAGGAATGGTACACACCTGGGTCAAACCACAATCTCTACATTACACTGCAGCTTCCAACCTGAATTAAGAAATGCCCTTTGACTGGACAGCTGAACTGATGCCTAACCTTTCTGCAGACAGTTACAAGAGCACATTCCATGTTTTTGGCAGCAAGCATTCCTGCTTGGTAGGGCAGCTATCTACTTATGATACTTAAGGATGATGTCAAAGAAGCTATCAAGATAATTTAGACCCACTGATTACCAGTTAATAGTCACAAAATAATGTATTAAAGCAAGGGATGCCACAGAGCAAAGCATATTTTCAAAGAGCCGCTTGTAAAAAGAAAGTCTCACAGATTATGTGGAAATCAGGCAAGAGAATAAAAGATATTTTATCCAAAGATAGCTCACAATTGCCACATTTTCCACCAGGCTGGAAAAAGCTTAACAGGAACTAAAAACTGTCCAGACCAAAATTAAGAATATCAATTTTGCTTTTATGAAAGCAAAACTGTTCCTTGCAAATAGCAAATCCAAGCACTAACAAATCTAAACTCATCTGAAAAGAATGATAGCTCTGTTAAAAACTAAGAAGCAACTATAATTAAACTTTTTATGCCAAACCTACATTCTTTCACGACATCCTGTTTCTAACAGGGCTTGATAACACAGTGTCCATGGCTTCTATGGCGATACATAAGCAGCCTGAGGTACCACTTTCTGCTGTCTGGGAAGGCAGGATGCTTGTCCCTGCAAAGGTTCAGACAGCAGAACTTCATAAATCTCATTCTGTGATGTGCTGTCCTTAACATTCTGTAGTCTTTCCTGCATCTCCTTCAAGGACAGCTTTACTGGACCAATACTTGAATGCTATATTGGCATTTTAAAAATTAAATAGGAAAACAAAGTGCCAAGATTCTGAAGATTTGTCTACAAAGTATGTTTGTATGGTTACAGATATTTAAGCTAATAATAATTTGGGATATTTGAAATACATAAATGAGTGCAGTGCAAAATTAGATTCCTCATCCCATCATCAATTTAGGTTTCACAAAATAAGATTCATCACCAAAATATTTCTTTAGATAATATTAACACATGCCATCATCATTGTGTTTTCACAGATCAGGACTGCTGAACATCTATGGCTAATCATAGCATGTGGTAATTTTATGTACCATGCCAAGGCTGATCTGAGCAAAATTACAACTACCCCCAGAAACATCTGTAGTTAAGTTTTAAGTTACTTAAAATTATGTTATGATGACAAACACACAAACTTAAAAGTCTCAAAAATGTAAATATCTAACTTTAATTTTATGCATCTCAAAAAAACCCCAAACAAAAACAATGACACCTTTTCAGTTTCCAGTTGTTTCCCAACAATAGTCAATAGGGGGGGCAAAATTGTCTCCACATACAGTCATCAAAAATAGGGCAAATTTTAAAGCTGCTAAATGATAAATAGCAAAAATGGTGATTTTCCTTTAGATCAAAGACCAAAGTTCTGAAATGGTTTACTTTCAACTCCTCAAACTCATTATTGTTGGCTTGATGGGCAGCTGTTCAGTCCCTTTAATGCGTGTGCTGAGAGCACTGGCATGGAAGCGAGAGGAAATGTTTGGTACAAATTTCTGAATACTGGCATTTTAAAACTTTGGAAATAATTGAGAAAACCTGCTAAAGAAATACCAAACAAATCCCTAACTATACTTGTGATACACTTCTACTTTATGAGTTTTTCTAAATCTACAGAAGTAAATTCTATCATACATAATGACAACTACAATTTCTCATTCACTTTCACACACTCATTGAGGTTGGCAGGGATCATGAAAACATCCAGAAATTGTTAGTAGCGGAGGTTATTTAGGTTTGGTTTTTTAATAACCATCACTTCCATTTCACATGCAAATGTAAAATTAGTTAACACTATTGTCTTCCAAAATACTGTTTGAGTTTTTTAATTTAAGCTAAAGCCTACATTTTCTGAAACTTCAAAAGCAGTTTAAGTACACCGCAACTATAAGTAATCATCTTACTGTCAAATTAAAAAAGGTATCTCCACATATATACAGAATTAGAGGAGAATACAGCTACATGGAGGTCATTCAAGTTGTAAACTATATCATGTACTGTAAATATCTTATTTCAGCTTTCACAAGAAGAGCTATAGGCGCTTTTCATTTTTCAAAGACTTACAGTTCTGTTGCATAAAAAAAAGCTTTTGGCTATATGATTTTGGTTTCATTTTGCACAAGTGAAAACAAGTATTTGCTAGTTGACTAATGTATACATAGGCCATCTTAAAGAACTTCTTCTACAGGTCTGAAGTATTTTTATTAAAAAAACCCTATGCAGACTAAACAAATAGACACCCCTATATTTGGCATACGCAAGGGCTTATAAAGAAGTAAGAAGATGTCTTCACTCAAGCACTTTTCATAATTAGCTATAATATGTGGACTTGGTCCTGCCGAGCCATCAAAACTTAAAACCAAACAAACAAAAACAACAACAAAAGAAACACCACCACGCCCAACACTACTTAAACTGCTACCTGTCTAGTTATGAAATAAATTATTAAACTATTTAAAAGTTTAACAGCATTAGTTTCCTCATCTTAAATCTATACTGGAGATGCCCTTGCAATTTAGTTACAGTGCTAGTCTGGAGAATATTCACAAAAACGTATCCAGTATCTATCCACAGCTGAGCTCTTAACATGGTACTCATTAATAAATATAATCTAATGTTAGGTGAAGATTACTTTTACAATGAAAAATATGACTACTGTTTCTTTCCAGATTTCAAGTTTTCTTCCCAGCAGTCTTGCAGACTAGTAAAGACAGGGTTTAAAAGAGAAATAGAAACAAACTTAACCAATATGCCTTTCTAAAATAGGACATGTAAGCCAGCATGCAACAGCTTTATCTGGTCACATCCCCTTTCTCATACTTTATTTGGTTATGGAGCACAGTTTCAAGCACCACTTGAAATAGTGCTGGGAAAGCATTCCCCAAAACCATTTCTGTTAGTAGGCTACCACTGCTTGTTAAAGGAGTTCTGGTGTAGTCAAAATGAACCAATGAGTATTATTTGACTGCAAGTAAAATGGTCCCCAGTTTGGCATTAAAAAAAAAATGCCTTGCCCATTGCCTATATTTGTTGCAATAACAGAATGAGATCCAAGCATTTGGTTCTTTACACTGCAAGCAACCATCTTTGGTGTAATTGCCTTTTTACAGTAAAAATAAAAAAGCTTAAATATTGCATTTCAATTAAATTGTAATTTCTATAGCAATTACGGAAAAGCACCTGCCACTACAAATTCAGGAAAGAAACCCTACAAAACAGGCTTAACAGCATAGGAACCAAAAAACAGACAAATATAAGCAACAGAAAGAAATGACAGCAAAGAAATGAGTCAAAACACAGATTACACTCTTAACAGAAGAGAAAGAACTGTGAAAGCGCAAATTAAAAGACAGATATCAATGTGTCTTATACTAAGTGCTTTGCTACCAGAAATGGACCAGATCTCTAAAATAAGGGTTTCAATTGCATTTAAGGAGAAACTCTTATTTGCAAAAATTAAAAGGTGAACACAGATACTCAAGATTTCAGAGTAGAGCTTGGCAGAAGGAGCAGCATTTCAATCTTCAAAACTGAGAGCTCTCATTACAGAAAAAAGAGCAAAAGCACTTTTAGGCATTTCTAAATATCACAGGTTAAGTTTCCCACAAGAACCAAAGACTTTATGAAATATTGCAATGAAGAATCATATTTATTAGTTTTAATTATACAGTTCCTTTTCTTACCTTCTCGGCTTCGAGCCATTATTATTAGTTGGCAGATCACATTAATCATTTCTTGAAGTAGTGCAGGACTCTTTTTCAGGATAAACTGCTGATCTGCAAGATATAACTGGCTGTAATTATGCTGCACTTCTATTAGGAAAAAAGAGGGCAGTTTACATGAACTGGACATTTAATGGTGCAGTCTTCATTTGTATTTATTCTTGTATTATTGAAAATACCTCTTCATTCACATTGACACATCCATTCCCTAACAAAACAGGAAAAAGCAAACAGTAAGAGGGAACGCAAATTTTGTGTACCAGACAAACAGCTTCCATACCAAATGAAGAGGTGCTTCCTAGATCCATCTGAAAAAAGCAACAGGATGGCACAGACTATTTACCGGTCTTATTAAAATAGCATCAATTTTTCAGGTAATAACAGGTTAAAAGAAGGATTTTTAAGTGAAACTCCAATTTTGGGAAAAACATTATTGTAAAGTACCATCTACTTTTGAATACAGATCTGTAAAGTTATAAGTACAAACAGTAACTAAGTGGCAAGGAAGAGGAGTTATTTTTAGTGGCTATTTAAAACTGATCATTTTTGTTTTGAAACAAACTCGAAAATTTGAACCAAAGCATCTTCATTGGCTGGTTCAGGGTTTTTTTCATTTGTATTAAAATATAGAACATCTGAAGTTTGCTGGTCAGCCTAAGAAACCAGGAGTTTCAAGGCTGAAACTTAAGAACTGCATTTAGAGACCTTTCAGTTTGTATATTTACAAGTATGAAAAATTGAAAAACACAATTTTAAAGTTCTAATCTTGTCACCCTTGCTTTACATAGTGGGGGGCAAATAACCTCCAAAAACAATCATCAGTGGAAATGTTAGAGAGAAAAATATTATGCTTATCTTGGATTTCTTTACTCTGAAAAGCAAATAAACTTCACATGTTTAATTTTATATTCTACAACAAATAAAAAAAATTAATGAAAGTCACATTTACAGCCAAAGAGCACTGAAAACTAGGATATTAGTATTACAGGGCTATGAAGAGAATGAGAAAATGATAAGTAAATGTTTTAGCTTTTCAACTTTAATGATTCTCTAAGTACACTGCTATTGAGCAGAGATCCATGCAACTCTTTAATAGACAAAAAGTATGTTTCTAAGTAGTGTAGCATGCAATATGATGCTTTATTTCCAACAATATCCAATTAAGGAAGAAGCCATTACCTTCTTCAAGGACCTCAGGAACTTTCATCCTGGCAAGATGAGTCAATAGCAGAACTCTGGCTTTCAGGCTGTAAGGGCAGGTGAGTGGAGGCTCATTCTTCTTTAAATTTATGCCACCAATTTCTCTGATTAGCTAAAATAAAATAGTTAAATTCAAATAGCTATTTCGATGCTAAAGAAAAACAAATACAGGAGCAGAACAGCCTTTAAGTAACATTTCCCTGTAAAGTTCTGTAGGGATGAACATTAGCCATTTTTATTCACAACCCAGCTCCAAGAATTCAAAAAGTATCTTTAAATGTCTTTTTTCTATGTGGGGGTGAGGGAGGGAAGTAAAGATTTGCATACAAGACACTTTCCTTGAATAGCATTAGTAAATTTTTATTGATAAATATTTTTTAAATCTGATTTATGGCCAAGGTTTACTACAATCAAACATATTTCTAAAGTATTTATATTAAGCTCAATATGCACTAACAGCAGCATTATCTTGAGACCTTTCAGCCATCTAAGACCTAGTCAATTTACTCAGAAATAGTCTCAAGTACCACAGGAAGGAGGGTTATAAGCCTGAACTCTCTGGTAGGCTGAAGATTAAGTATTACTTATAAAAAGCACTAACTTGAAAAAAAAGTGTGATATTCTTTATTCAGAATCACAGAATCATCTAGGGTGGAAAAGACCTTGAAGATCATCGAGTCCAACTATTAATCTAACACTGACCATTCTCAACTACGCCATATTCCTCAGCGCTACGTCAACCCGATTTTTAAACACCTCCAGGGATAGGGACTTCATCACTGCCCTGGGCAGCCCTTTCTAACACCTAACAACCTGTTCTGTAAAAAAAAATACTTCCTAATATCCAGTCTAAACCTTCCCTGGTGCAACTTGAGCCCATTACCTCTTGTCCTATTGCTTGTTACTTGGTTAAAGAGACTCATCCCCAGCTCTCTGCACCTCCTTTCAGGTAGTTGTAGAGGGTGATGAGGTCTCCCCTCAGCCTCCTCTTCTCTAGACTAAACATCCCAGTTCCCTCAGCCACTCCTCATAAGACATATTCAGGATGACCCATCTTGACCCTGACTAGACCAAGATGTACAATTCAAATAGGTGTGTCTCACTTGAATTTGCTGAAGAGCCTGGAAGGGGAGGCTGCAAAGCTAACAGAAGCTCATAGTTTCCAAGAACCAATACATGGCCCTTTTTAGGTCAACGAGTCACCTGAGGACAGACTGAGGTTCCAAAATCTCTAGACACAAAGGGAAGTTAGGATATCAACAGCCAGGCTACACTGACTTTTGACCAGCCTTTCCCTACACTTTGAAAAAAAAATATTCTAGCAAGAAGTTCCTTATAAACACATCTTGGTATAACACCAGACCAAGACAATAAAAACTCTGATAAGAAAACTTTTAGAAAAGTATCAATACTTTTAATGATGAAACAGTGAAAAATAGGAACAATTATCATGGCTCAAAAAGCAGGAGACACTAACAAAAATTATTAACAATATCCTGCTGTACCAATGCTTTTGAGACTTCTACTGCCATATACTAAGAAAAAAAGAACACAGATGACACTGATAACTGCAGCTTTAGAAATGGAACAAAATCCAATAGTATGAAATGCAAGGTCATGCACTTGCATACTAACAAGAACCACAGCTCAAAGATGGGAGCTTGTTAGCTAGAAAATGGGAATACAAGACAAAAGAAATACAGAAAACGGCAATCCCACACTAGTTGTATTAAACTACCATATGAAACAGCTGTGGAAAACAGTATGCTGAAAGTTATTCCCTGCAGAAATAAAGGAATAGCAGTGCTATCAACTAAGTTACTGCTAAGACTTGACATGGAATACTGTGCACAATTCTGAGCAGACAAAAAAAAAAAGTAAAATTTAGAAATACATCAACTGGGGAGAGTACCCTATTCAACACGTAGGATGAGGGGATTACAAGACAGCTGCTTTTCTACTTTAGCAAGAAGATGACAAAAAGAGAAGAAATGGGCTGTTGCTTCTGCCTGTACATGCATTAAGGATACTCACAGCAAGAACCATTTAGACTCAAGAATAATGATGGCAAAAATCATGGATATAAGTTGATCTCAAACAAGATTCCTAACCCACTAGAACAGCACGTTCTGGAACAGCTTCTCAGTAGGATAATGGTTACAGGAGGTTTGAACACCTTTTAAATAAAGAAGGCAATGTAAACAAAGGGATTGCACAATGCCAACGCTTGCAACAGCATCAGAGAACAACTGATGATCAAGGTGATCTTTCCCAGTGATGTGGTCCCAAGCACAATGCCTTCTGAAAAACCTCACCTAACCACAGATCCAGCTCCTTCTCTTCAAAGTCCACAAGATAATAAAGAATTTGTAAAAGAGACAAAGACAATTAAGTAAAGGGGTATCTCAGTCCATTTTCTTTGTATTTTAGGACATGGAAAATGTGTTTATGACTTGAAAATTCAATTGTGTGCATACAAAGGTTAAATCTTTGAGATTATCCCCCCTTGTTTTGCAAACTCAAAACATTTTCATTGGAGCATTTTGTATACTGTGGTTTAAAAGTTCTTAAAACCAAAGTGTTAGTTTCTCACAAATAAGGCTTCCTAAAACTCTGCTAGCAATAATTATTTGCCACAGTATGCATTATGGCATTTCTGTTGGGAAGACTAAATGGAAATGAAAATAAAGGCAATCAGAGGGGAACCGACATTCACGGAGGAATCTTTATAATATTTAAAGAGATTATTAATTCAGACATCAGATAATTTTATTTCCATATTAACATATTTAACCAGATCTCTGTTAATTATTTAAAAGAGCTTTATTCGATGGCAATCACCTCCTTATATCAATACTTGAAATTTATAAGGACTGACACTCCAATTCCCTATTCAGTTCACCCCCCTTCCCAAAAACTCAGCCAACTCAGCAGGCTATATACTAAATTGATTCCATTTAAGCTAAGCATTATCACCAATTAAGGTTACCTTTTCTTTTTAAAAAAAATAAATCAAGTCTAGCTTCTAATTTCTATTTCTGAGGAGAAACAGTTGCATCTCAACAAAATGAATGCCTTGAGAACTTGAATTCTATCAGCTGGTCACCTAGAAGCACCACTGACCTCTTCTCTTGAAGGGGTCAGTTATTTATAAAACAACTCTTGATAAAACTAACCTGTGGTATCTGAATGTTGTCTGCTGGTCTGCTCGTAGCATCTTTATTGTACTGAGGATCAAATTCAGATGCCCCTGCTAAAACCATGATAAGCCCTGCAAAGACAATTGGAGGCAGACAAAGAAATATCAACATCGTCTTGTTCCACTGAGTGATTTCTTGAGAACCCTCAGCCATAAAACTTATTCCCACTCTTCTCCCAACCACCACAAATATCCATGTTCTCTATTCAGTGGATCATTTACTTCTGCCATAGGCAAAGGAGGCAAGAACCAATGCCTGGTCCAAAATAGATCACTCAGTGATCCATTTTGCATGGCATCAAGTCCAGCATTTGACACAATGTCTTCACAGAAACATAGTAAGGCTTCTTTAGGACTGGCAGACATCACTCCACAGCAGTTTGACTACATCTGCATGCTCACAAAAACATCCTCTTGTCAATTCATGTGCCTGCAGCAGCATGTGTACACTGAAGTGGGAGGCAGGAAGGATAAAATTTCAACTCAATTTTTTATTCAATCAGCACTGAAAATTCACCCTAAAAACATTCTTTTAGTTATCAGAAAAACAGTTCAGTAAATACCCCTGCAAACAAATCCCATGAAGATAATGGGCTGCTCTTTTCCTAATGTGATTGGGAAAATCCATACTACCTCAAAATATCCTGTTGTGTAGTGAAAAGGAGAGGTACACAACACAGTATTTTAGCCCCATTATGAGCTTTCTGCTCATGAACATAACAGAGCCCTCAGCCACAGACAACAAAAGAAAGCTCATCCCATCATTTGCTCCAGTTAAAAATAACTTTCAGCAATAGTTACTCAAGCTTCACTCAAGTTTTGAGCAAGTTCTCTTCTGAGCAAGTCAAAGTTATTTTTGCCTACTTGCAGTGCTCAGTGAATTCCACATACTAACAATTAGTCAAGTTCCCTGAGCATCAATTTTAATTTCTGTTCTCAATTACCTATTTACTTCCTGAGCACAGGATATCAAACAGTTTCCGACAACTATAAATACTTCCCTATTATTTAAGGCTAACAACTATGGATCTTCAGGACAGGAACTTTAAAAACCTCATTTGTTCTGAAGCCTAAAACCACATCTAAACCAAGGCAACTCATGCAGATTTGTCTCACCGTTTCCCTAGCCCAGTTTGATTACATTTGCCCAGGTTTAAGACTTAAGTTTTGTCACTGGTACCTCACCACTGTGGAATTCACAACCAGGCAAAAAACATACATGATCACTGTATGGTTTGTCTAAGCCACCTCAGCTGCACCTCATTTTTCATTCAGATTGCACAACACACCTCCATGGATAAAAATTATCTGTCTCTGACTCCAGGAATCCCTGTGTTAAGTCCTTAAATAAGGCCACTTAAAATTAGGGTTAACTTTTTAACCAATCTGTAGGAGAGACAGAGCAAGCCTCAAAGCTATGGGTCTGAGCAAGGTTCAATGTGTAATAATCTACTGTTGACAAGAAGTTTGGAGAAAGAAGAGACCAGGTTTGAAGTGATCTCCCTGAACTTCTAAAGAAGTCTCACCTACGCTCCCACTCCTCCTTTCTCACCTACTTCCTGAGAAAAAGGAAAAAGCATACGAGCATGACAACATAGAAAGCACAAACTGGTCTGAATCAATCCCGCACACATAAATCCATGTATGTTGTGACTAGAAAGGGAATGTATTTCCATACTCTTATCTCCTAGACCTCTTGGATTATCTGCAAAGGACTTCTGTTCAGTAGAAAAGGAATGTATCAAGAGCAGATACTTTCATCAATCTTCCAGCAAATCTAAATCTGAACAGTGCAGTTCCAAGGAGGAAGAGAATATAATTATGAATCCTTTTCAGAGGTCTTTTTTTCCCATTTATCCTGCTTTCCAATCACTCTGAGCATGCAGTCTAGTAAAATCAAGTCTAGAACTAACTAGTACCATGCTAATTCTTCAGGTCCATGCCAGCCTCTAAAGTGAAAAATCCAATTCTGCACCAAGATAATGCATCTACAGATTTCCCCAGAAAAAAATGAGGGTTTAAAAGTAAGCACAAGAAAATAAGTACATTAAAATATAAACTAGTAGCAAAGTAACATGAAATTGATAGGGAGCAAATTTTTTAAACAGAAATTTAGCTATAACATAACTATACATAAGTTATAGCTATAACAAATTTAGCTATAACATAACAGAATAATAGAAAACCAGAAATGCTATTTCATTCTTCAGCAACATGAAAATTTTATGACAGCCCCTAGAAAATTCCCAAAGCCTATTTTGTTACACTAACAGAAGAAAATACACAGATAGAGACTGTGCTCCTAGTGGCCACATGGTAACTCAGAACTAGAGGTAGGTCAGCATGTTTTTCCCAACATACAGGTGTGGGGTTTTTTTAATGTATAGACAGACAAATTTAGATCTATATAACACCCTCTTCCAAATACTTAAATCTTCTTACAGAGTACTCCACCTGCAAAAAAATGTAGTTTTTAAAAACACTCTAAAAGAACAGAAATGTTATTTTAACCTAACAAAGGCTTATAAAGCAGAAGCATTTTAACATCAGTAGATTGACATTTCCAGATGAACACATTAACATTTCAAGATGACTTTTACTTACGTTTCATGTCCATGTTACGTGTTTTATAGACAAAATATGTATATATTTGAGTTGTCCGAATGAGAATCTGATCTCCGCTGTATCGTATTGACCGGTACCACCAGGAACCCTGAGACATTTAACAAGAACAAACTGACATCAGCTATGATGAAGCACCGAAAGAGCTATGCTGGATCACCTCATGTCTGTTCACAATCAAGTAACTCAGTGCAACTGATTTTACCTATTGTTGAAGTTAATTGAATTTCAGAAAGGAGAGGGAAACAAAAAATATTTGCCAACAAATTTTAAAAGCACACCAATATATTCAGCTGAGAGAATCTGATGCTGAAAGTTTTTAAATTATCTCTAGCCTAGAGAATTCCCCCCAACACAAGCACATATACACTGCTTCATTTATTTTTGGTGTTGTTTTAATGAATCCACTAAACAGTAAATCTGCTGGATTTACCACCTCCTATATGTATGTTTACTCCTTACTGTGCAATACAGCATTCAAATCAAATTCAGTTTAGGCAAAACAAGAACAAAATAAGATATTTCTTTCATTATAAATTATTTTTTGCAAATTTTCCTAAGTCACCTAATCAGAAACTGCTTTTCAGAAAGGGAACCTGGAGATGATCCAGCACCCTTGCTGCAAATTTTCAGAATCAAGCCATATGCCTTAAGGTTGACAGAAAAAGTTTTCCAAACCTTCAGAAACACTCCACTAATTCCCTCACTATCATTACACCAGTGACTTCAAATTATGAAACTCACTGTACAGTGATTGTACTGTGTAATATATTTTAAGAGATATCATGTGCAGGGTTATAAACTACAATCTGTTCATTAAACTCCTCCTTGTAAGCAAAGGTCACTAACACGAGGGGAAAAAAAAACATCCAAAATACATCTCAATTTATTGGAAAGTTTATCACAAATGAAAAGTAACAAGCAGTAAAGTAGTAAGTGACGTTTGCTACTATTAATTTCATGGGCAGTAGTGTAAATTCCCCTACTACAGCAAGAACTCTGCAATTTAATTAATTATTTGGGAAATGCTCTAGGACTGTCTCCCCAAAACTATTTTTTTTTTTTAAATCAGGTTTGATTCTTCTATGAATAGATAAACCCTGACACAAAACAGTACATAACTTTTTTTCAAGTTTTTCTGCAGAAAAATTTAGAATGTAATCCCATACCTATCAAATTTTTGTCTAAGGATAGGGACTGGAAGAAAAATATAACTATAGCCAATCCAAATCTACATGAGAGAGGCTGCCCTAACTGCTTTTGCAGATACAGCTTGTCTCTCTTGCCTCATGTACAGAACTTTATTTAGGTCAGTAGAGGTACGTATCAGTGTTTTCCTTTTTTGTTAATCTGGATTCAAAGGGTGGAACCAGTCTCACTTTATTTTAGATGCCTATCTTAGAAATAGGCTGACTACACTATAGTTAACTTCAGCTTCTTTATTGATTCATAAAAGAGAAACAGGCCCATTAAAGGCATGAATCACCTTGTATGTCTCCTTTAGAATGAAATGATAAAATAACCTGCTCCATAAAAATGACTATTCCTCTTCACTGACTATAAAAGAAATTTACAGTGACAAGTCTGAGTGCAGTAGTCTACCTCTGGTATAGGGGCAAGAAGAGACAGATTGGGTTTTTTCTCTGCTCAGGACATTTCTTCCTAACAACAGAAAGGATGTTTACTTCCACTTGAGCTATGATAAATCTGGTATAAATCACTAAAAGTACATATATACAAAAAAGCATCAACAGACACCAACTAAAACTTAAAAGACAGGAAAAACATGTAGATATTGTACCCTGGATTTTAGACTTCTTACTCAAAAACTTGCAATCGCTACATCTAATTGTCTACACTAAATCTTCAATTATGCAGAAAGACTCTGAAAGAGAAGGGATAATGCCCAGCTAGCCTCTGCACACAGAGATGCAAGCAGTTGCCAAGACCACAGGAGACCTTCTCAAATGAAATTCTCCTTCCCAAGAGCATTAAGGTTTCTGGGTGTCAATTTTCTGAGTCTTTCTTCATGTCATACCCCAAATCCACAATCACTGGATAAGGGACATTGTTCAAGAGCAATACTGTAGCACAAACCTGAGGCCTGAAATACCACTCACCTAGCAACTGATTCCTCACACAAAAAAATCTCAAGGGGAGAATCTCATGGTGTACAGAAAATCAATAAAAATTGAAGTTATAAAAATAAAGGCAGTCAGAAGAAACCAAACCAACAACCTGTTCCACATACAGTAATCCTTCTAGTACCATCACCTACAGACATCTCAGTCTTGGCTCTACAGTAACATCACTAAATATACTCGAGTTCAACTCATTGTATTAATTTTCATGTGATGAATGACAGAAGGTACAAGACAAATTACATAACTTAGTCTAACTCTTGTGATATCTAATATTTTCCCTATAGCCCTCTATCATGGCACTGCATTTTTTTGGAAACCCTACAGCAGCTACACTCTTTCCATAATAAAAGAAAACACCCACATTAAAAAAACCTCACTTGCTTGCTCTCTCCGTGAAAGGCAAGAATGAGCAATTCTGTGTCCAAGACAGCTTTGTTTACAGCTTGGTTACAGAGGTTAGATATATTAATTAGATAATACTTACCACAACAACTGGAAGAATAACCATAAATGCTAATCCATATACAAGCAAAACCTAGAGAAAAATTATGAAACATACAGCATTAAATACTTCAGTTACTTAATACCACTCTTGTTTAATCTTTATTCTAAAATACAGCCAAGTAGTATTACCACAAGCCTACTACAAATTAATGTAAACTCATTGCATAATACCTGTCATTATTTCTGAACAACTTACAAGTAATATAATCAGTTGGGTAGGGTTTAAATAAGGAGTATCAGTTTAGTGTAAATAATCTTTTAAACCATCCATGCATTGTCTCAGGTGGGTTTCTTTAATAATTAAAGAGTTGGCAGCTAAACTGTGATGCAGTGGACAGGGATGATTACATTAAAAGAAATCAAGTGGGTAAGCCAAATAGCTTGCAGCAACAAGTGCAACAAAGAACATTTGAACACTGTACAATTGCAGCATCACTAGCAAACCAAATGGAACTACAGAAATCCAGCAAACTATGTGTTTCCTTGCAACAGCAAACACACACTTTGTCGCAGGGGTAACCACAGTACCACCTTATTATCACTGCAATAAGATCCTTCCATGCTTATTAATGCTTTACTCTCAAAGGTTAGATTTAAGCTATTTTGACTCCTGAAGTTTGCTTCAAGATGTGCACTTGGACTAAACTATTATTAACTACGTGTTTTGACTAAAATGCACAGTATTAAGCACAAATGCTTTAAGGTGAACACTTGAAAGTTCATCTTGAAATCTTGAACTGACTCACCAAAATTGAATTTTTCTGATCCACAATCCAAGCTGGCAAAGCTATACCGAAGCTTGTAGCTGTCAGATGAAAGAAAAGAAATTCACTATAAAATATTAAAGAATCATTTTGAAGTCATTTTAAGTCTAACAAACAAAACACCCAACAAAAACACCAACCCACAAAACACTCCTCGTGTTTATCACTTCAATAAGCAAAATTCTAAAAAATTTAGCAAAAACAAAAAACAAATTAGAAATACACTCAGGTATGCAATAAAATAACAAGGCTTAAAAGCAACATCTGAAATACCAAAGATTTTAGCTTAACATATTGCAGTGAAATAGACACATAAGATTTATCAATATACAAAAAGAGAAAGATTTCACAGATTAAGAGATTTATGAGCTTTGCCTTGCAGAGTTTTCAGCAGTTTAAATACATATAGTTCAGCAAATACATAAACTGCAAGAAAACTGTTTGAGCAAATGAATTCTATGGGAAAAGTTTTCCTAGTTTGTAATGTACAATAACAAGGAAAGTGTTTTAAGCTGTAAATTGTAAAAACAAAACCCTCTGCCAGTTCAAATTTCTATGTGATTGGTAAGAAACAGAAAGGAACACTTTACAATTCAAAAGGAGTTAGGCTGCAGAAAATAGAAGACACGATTCTCTAACAGTAACATCTACAATACACAGATCAGAATTCAGAATAGCGTAAAACAGCTTATCTTCAGACGTTTTAGCGGTAATAAACTGAACTTTGCAAACACTACCTATTCCAACACTAAAAGTACCAGGAAACCAAGAAAAAAGAGACTTTACAAATTTCTAGAGCCTGCTTAAAAAAAACCAAAAACAACACACACACAAAAAACATTGTTTCCTCAGTACTAGCAAGTATCAATGAGGAGTACTGCCTTAAATAAGGACACACTAGGATTCCCTAAGTACTTACAATACTGTTCTGATACTGTCTCCAACACCGTGACAGCCATCAATTCAGACAACCAATTGTTATGCACAAGCCTAACGTGACTTCTATGTAGTTAAGTTCAAAACTAGTATTTGTTGAAACTCAAACATCTGACCACACTTCAAGCTTAGGAGTTCCACGCAACAACACCCAGTGAATTTATCACATTAAGTTATAGTAAATGCCCTGCTACAGAGCCACTTCCCTATATGTCAATGGTTATAGATTTTTAGAAGAATCTCTAAAAATGTAATGCGTCTTTTACTGGTGGTATCAATTTCAGTTTCCCACAATATTTTTGACCTTTAGGATTGTAGCTTCAAATTGTTCCAGAACAGAAGTAGTTCAGTACAAAGCTCTTTCTCTTCTGGTCTGAGAGTCTCCTTGTCCTCATCCATGCTTGGTGAGCTGAAGCACTAGCAAATACCAAGGGAAAATAGTCTATTGAAACTGCCTTACATTATTAAAAGCGTATCTTTTTACTGTCCAGGTCCATCACCTGCTTTTAAAAACACTTCAAATGATTTTGCACATTCAGTATTTTACTTTTCATAAAGGACCAAGTCATGCCAAAGACAGGAAAACCTTGTCTCCCTGCCTCTAACCTCCATGATGCTTTAGTTGGACAGAGTGTAGTACTGCTTGCTATTCCTTTGTGCTGGGCACAGAAAGCAGGATGTACCTCATCTAACTTGGTTAGACATGTCTAATACCAGATGTGCTACATCTCATTCCAGAATATACCTCTGTAAGGGACTGTCTCCATTCTTTATACAGAACAAAAAACTAGAGTGCATAGCTTGGCTCCAAATTTTTACACTACAGGTGTATAAAATTAAGATAAGATTAATTTCACTAAATTAGAAAGCTCCTCAAACTTCAATGTGGAACAAGGTTACAGACTACAGGATGGGAGAGGGAAAGTTTCAGGCTTCTTCCCACCTTTCAGATAAAGTGACGATGAGAGAACTAGAAACAAATCAAGGAACTCCAATTCCACCATAATCTGAGTTAGGGTTTCAGAAGAGCAGGAGGCTTTGCATTCACAGTGCTAATTGCTTGCCCTACCAAAGAATCATTTCATTTTGCCCTTTGGGAATACAGAGTCCCTTAAGTTTGTGAAAGCGATCTCCAAGCCAACTGCACAAGGATCTCCAAGCCTTTAAATTCTCAGCTTTTGGCTGAGCTTTCTTTTTAAGTCAGAGCTTCAGGTCTGTTCAAGGACACTGACATACTGCCTAACTTGAAATCCTATGCCTTGGCAACACTATGTTAGTAGCTTGTGGATGCAAAAAACAGTTTAGCATCAGCAAAGGTCCTAGGAAAGCTATTTGTGCATATATCAGACTGAGATTTACAGTACCATTTTGCTGATATTGTGACAGCATTTCTGAACCAAGATCTTATTTGTACTTTGCAGCAAGAGGGACAGAGCCTTGCCTGGCTAGGAAACCAAGAGAAGCTAAGAGCTGAAAGAAGTTTGCTATGCTATAAAACACCGTGGTTAAAGAGACTGAACCTTAGTCTATCAGAAATGCCTTTGTCAGACTATGATTCAGTTGGCACAGTTGGGGGTTTTTTTGAAGGGAGAGGGAAGATTGTTTCTTTGAAAGACTGGTTTGGGGCTTGGGGTTTGGGTTGGTTTTTTTTTTCCCCCCTTTTAAATTAATTTCCCATCTTGGATGGATATAATTCAGAGGAAGAATTTCCAGCACAGACTTCTCTCACATCATCTTGTAACTTCACAATTAAGTGAATTCCATTTATTACTTCCAAGCTGGCCTTAACTAATTTCATGTAAATATGTAGTATAACTTCATCCCTCAAACTGCAGGGCATCAACAAGAAGAGATCTACAGAGGCCTGTCCCAACAGAGGGCAGGTTATCTTTTTGCTTGTAATGAATATCATAAGCAGCTATAACTATACAATATTCTTCCTCACAAATGGTCGCAAAGATGTTTTACAAGCAAGTCATGCAACTGCAAATGGGGGCAGGGGGGAAATCTATTAACTTTCAGTCTTTATTTTGGATCACCTACTGTAAAACTTTAATACACAAACATCAGGAGTATTTTCCTGTAGCTACCTGCTCAGGAACAATCTACCAGTACAGGGATAATCACCAGGACTCCACAAAGTGAAGGTGGCATAGAGCTACATTCAAACAGTACTACTTCCAGCAAATGTAAGGCAGATGTGTACACAGTATTTATTTAAATATATATATATATACATACCCTCATATACATCCCTTCGAAGTGAGTGTATTTCAATATGGCTAGTTGTTAATTTTTCAATATACATTTATAGTATCTTTCTGATTATTATTCTGGTTTTTGTTTGTATCTCCTTTTAATATTGGCAAGACTCCCTAGATACTTACTGAAGCTGACTAATTAAAAAAAATACCCTTCTCTTTTTGCCCTAGTAAGAATTTTGAGAAATGTGAAAGCAAACTCTGTCATGCCTTTCCCTCCAACACCACCCCAAAGCCAGTTTCACAAAGAATTGATTGGATGCATTGCTTCAAATCATACAAAAAAATATGTATATAAAAAATAACTTAAGACCTGAGTCCTTCTCAAATAATCAGATATTACACAGCTCAATATACAGAAATCACAGGACTTGTCATTTATAATTGTTACCTTGTGGTCCATCTGGATTACCAAATTCTTCCCAATTTTTTCGTGATTCTTCATCAGTTAGGCTAGTTTCAAGAAGAGATATTAAGTTAATACAGAAGTAAAGAAATTTAAAACATTAACATACACAAACTTTAAAACATGGCATTTATACTATTCTTCAGAGATGATCTGGCAAGCTAAACACCTTCTGCTATTGTTTCTATGACATCTGATATGAAACAATACTGCTGTATTCCTTCATGATAGATACACAGGCAAATTCTTTTAGCACTGTAACAGCAAAAGAAATCACGACATAGAATGTGCACCCTCTTATAAGAGATGGAACAATCACATCTCCCTTTCATGAAAGTGACTGCATACCCATCATCAAAAATCACTTTTCAATGCCAGGTTACAGTACAGCGAATTTCGAAAGACAGAAAAGGTTGAAAACATTATCTTTTTTTGGAAGGAAGGTGAATACGCAAGATGAGTTGATACAGAGGTTATCCATATGAGTTTTCAATTCTTTTATTCAAGACTTTTAGCTTTTGATGGCGTGTGGTTGGTTTTTTTTTTTTCTTGGAACTCCCCAGTTTCATATTTAAGTGAGAAATAAATTAAGATACAACCTCCTAAATTTTACAGTCTCTATGCTCCTTCTGTAATGACAGTTTCATGACAATAATATACCACCTCAAACAGAATCCCTCTAACTAGAAAAAATAATACTGCTTTAGGGAACAGACTACCAGGCATTCACTATACAGATTTTGTCTCACTGAAGAAGCTCTGTGAATGAGTCAGACATCTCCTTATCATTTTTAAGTCCCAGAGCGGTTTGGGTTGGAAGGGACCTAGTTCCAACTCCCTGCCAGAGGCCAGAACACCTTCCACTCAAGGTTGCTCAAATCCCCATCCAACTTGGTCTTGAACATTTCCAGGGAGAGGGTGCAACTTGTTCCAGTGTCTCACTACCCTCACAGTAAAGAATTTCTTCCTAACATCTAATCTAAATCTACCCAAATGTACCCTTTCTCAGTTTAAAGCCATTACTCCTCATCCTACCACTACACTCCTTCAGAAAACATACCTCCCCACCTTTCCTGTAGGCCCCCTTAAAGTACTGGAAGGACTCTATAAGGTCTCCCAAGAGCTTTCTCTTCTCCAGGCTGAACGACCCCAACTCGCTCAGCCTGTCCTCATAACGGGGGGTGCTCCAGCCCCCTGATCATCCTTGTGGACTCTGGACTCACTCTAACAGGTTCATGTCCTTCTTATGATGGGGGCCCCACAGCTGGACACAGAATTCCAGGTCGGGTCTTATAAGAGTGGACTAGAGGGGGAGAATCACCACCCTCAAACTGCTGTCTATGCTTCTCTTAATGCAGCCCAGGACACAGTTGGCTTTCCGGGGTGTGAGCACACATTGCTGGCTCACAGTCAGTATTCCATCCACTAATACCCCCAAGTCCTTCTCCTCAGGGCTGCTCTCAATCCACTCATTGCCCAGCCTGTATTTGTGTTTGGGACTGCCCTGACCTGTGTGCAGGACCTCGCACTTGGCCTTGTTGAACTTCATGAGGTTTGCACAGGCCCACTTCTCCAGCCTGTAAAGGTCCCTCTGGATGGCATCTCCCTTCCCTCCAGTGTGTCAACCACACCACACAGCTTGGTGTTGTTGGCAAAGTTGCTGAGGGTGCACTCAATCCCACTGTCCATGTCTCCAATAAAAATGTTAAACAGTACTGGTCCCAATACCAACCCCTGAAGACCGCCACTTGTCACTGCTCTCCACTCAGACATCGAGCTGTTGACCACAACTCTTTGAGTGGGACCATTGAGTCAATTCCTTATCCACCAAGTGATCCACCTGTCAAATCTATGTGTCTCCAATTTAGAGACAAGGATGTCGTGTGGGTCAGTGTCAAGTGCTTTGCACAAGTCCAGGTAGATGACATCAGTTGCTCTTCCTTTATCCACCAACACCCTTAACTCCATCATAGAAAGCCACCAAATTCATCAGGCACAATTTGTCCTTAGTGAAACCATGTTGGCTGTCACCAATCACCTACTTATTTTCCATGTTTCCAGAAAGATCCACTTTATGATCTTGCCAGGCACAGAGGTAAGACTAACTCACCTGTAGTTCCCTAAATCATCTCTTTTTTTACCCTTTTTAAAAATGGGGGTTATGCTTCCTCTACTCTAGTCAGCAGGAACTTCACCAGACTGCCACAGCTTCTCAGATATGATGGACAGTGGCTTAGCCACTTCAACCACCAGTTCCCACAAATGCATCTCATCAGGTCCCATGGATTTGTGTTCCTTCAGATTCCTTAGATGGTCTTGAACCTGATCTTATGCTACAGTTCATTCTCCTAGCCCCCTTTGTCTGCTGCATCTCAGGCAGTGTGGCTGGAGCCCTTGCCAGTGAAGACTGAGCCAAAACAGTTGTTGAGTACCTCAGCCTCCCCATAAGGTCTCCCGTTTCCTTACGGAGAGGGCCCACATTTTCTCTATTCCTCCTTTTATCACCAACATACCTATAGAAGCTTTCCTTGTTGCCCTTGATGTCCCTGGCCAGATTTAATTCTATCAGGGCTTTGGCCTTCCTAAGCTGATTCCTGGCTGCTTGGACAGTTTCTCTGTATTTATCTCAGGCTACCTGTCCTTGCTTCCACCCTCTGTAGGCTTTCTTTTTGTGTTTGAGCTTGTCCAGGAGCAACCTGTTCATCCATGCAGGACTCCTGGTGTTTTTACATCACTTCCTCTTTGTCAGGATGTATCACTCCTGAGCTTGGAGGTGGTGATCCTTGAATATTAACCAGCTTTCTTGGCCCCTCTTCCCTCCAGGGCTTTATCCCATGTTACTCTGCCAAGTGGATCCCTGAAGACACCCAAGTCTGCTCTCCTGAAGTCCAGGGTAGCAAGCTTGATGTGTGCCCTCCTTGCTGACCTAAGGATCTCAAACTCCACCATTTCATGGTCACTGCAGCCAAGGCTGCCCTTAAGCATCACACTTTCCATCAGCCCCTCCTTGTTGGTGAGAACAAGGTCCAGCACAGCACCTCTTCTCATTGGCTCCTCTATCACTTGAAGGAAGTTATCACGAGCACCTTCCAGAACTTCATGGATTGCTTATGCCCTACTGCATTGTCCCTCCAACAGATATCAGTATGGCTGAAGTCCTCCCTGAGGACCAGGTCTTGTGAATATGAGGCTGCTCCTATCTGTCTATAGAAGGACTCATCCACTCGGTCTTCCAGGTCAGGTGGCCTGTAGCAGACCCCCTCTATAACATCTCCTGTCCCTGCCTTCCCTTTAGCCCTGACCCATAAGCTCTCAGTCAGCTCCCCATCCACCTCCAGGCAGAGCTCCATGCACTCTAGTTGGTCACTGACATAGAGGGCAACACCCCCTCCCCATCTCCCCTGCCCATCCTTCCTAAAGAGCCTGTATCTTTCCATTCCAACACTCCAGTTATAGGAGTCATCCCACCATGTCTCCATGATACCAAGATCATAGCCCTGCAGGCATGCACACATCTCTGGCACCTCTTGTTGATTCCCCATGCTGCATGTGTTTGCATAGAGGCATTAAAGGCCCCTGATGAAGCTGACTTACTGGCTGGAATTCCTTTGTGCTGCTCTTCAGGTGCTCTCTTGCTGACCTGTGATCCCTCTCCAGGCTCTGGACATTTATTACTGGCACTGGCATCAAGCTGGTAGGAATGGAATGGATTGATGTTCTCTTCCTCCATCAACTTTAGTTTAAAGCCCTCTTCACCAGCTTGACAAGCCTATGACCAAAGATGCTCTTCCCCTTCTCTGAAAGATGGACTCCATCAGCTCCCAGTAGATCAGGTTTCTCAAAACAATTCCCATGGTATAAGTAGCTGAAGCCCTGGCTGTGGCACAGTCCCATAAGCAACTCAATCTGCCAGATTCAACAGGCCCTTTCAAATCCCTTCCCTTTGGCCAGGACGATTGATGTAAAAACCACCTGCGCTCCAGAATTCCTTACCACCATTCCCAAGGCTCTGTAATCCTTCTTGATACTCCTCAGACTGCTCCTAGCTGTATCATTTGTGCACACATGAAACAACAGCAGCAGATAATAGTCAGCAGACTGTCTCTCAGCAATATCCCTGATATGAGTCCCCACTAAGCAGCACATCTCTTGAGAGTGCATCAGGTCAGCAGATGGGTGCCTCCCTACCTCTCATAAGTCTCACATTTGTTAACAAGCAGACTCACTGAATGGGTGACTTTTATATTCTTCCAAGACAGCATACTTAAGGAACTTCACCATCATTTACTTCAAGATATGCCTCTGCCACAGCCCTTGCACTAGCATTTGGAGTATCAAACTGTATCATCAAGCATTTGAGTGCTAGCTTGCAAGTAAAGAAGTGAGATGTTTCAGGAGTTCAGAAAGCAATACCAGAATGTCTTAATGAAGAGACTCACAGTGATGCAGATGTGTTTAAGCAAAAAGTAAAATTTCAAATCTGCTCAAGTGAGCATGGTGATGGTTCTCCTCCTCACTTCACCCCAAACAGGACTCTCAGCCAGTAAGGTCAACCACAGAGACAACTGACTTAAAAGCAGAAATCATCAACTTGCTAGGTTCTCTGATGACGTGACTGACCCAATAAATCCCAACAACAGAAGGCGGCTCAGAGGGGATGGGAAAGGGACATGTGCTATGAGGCTCAGACTGACCACAGTGACTCAGCACAGCTGCTGCAAAGAAGCTGACTCCATCTTTGTTTTAGATAAACACCTATCAACAGTTGAGCAGATCAACTGGTGGTGTAAGCAGCTTATCCTCAAGTGCATTAAAAAAGTATGAATGTCTTAAGTTTGCGAGACCAGCATGGTGGAAGTGGATACCTGGCTCAGCCCGATATACAGTATAAGAACTATACAACAAGCAAAATAATTTGGAAGAGCACAACAGGTCTGAGCTGGCTCAACACACGCATGCCTTTGCGGCACCTGGGGACATCCAGTGCCATGACAGTGAGTGTATTAGAGACCAGTAACGGGAATCACATTGGTATTGTGATTGAACTGTGTATTGAAATTCCTGTACTTTTCTAAGTCTAACTTACAAAATATACTAAAAACCTAATATAAATGTATCCCTCCACTAAATCACAAATCATGTGTAACATCAGCTGTTTTCAGATAAGCAGATTTTGTATTAAACATTACATCCTCCACACATGGAATATCTTAAAGAACCTAGTCAGAGTACCAGACTCTGAAAGATGATCATTTAGAGTAGAAAATAATATAAAGCTGTATTAACATTCTGTGTATGAACAGCATTACAAAACCCAAACCCCCACCTTGATTATGGGAAAATTCAACAAAAAGGGATTTCCTTTATACCAAATTGTAGTATTAGACATCATCTCTCGGATCAAAAAAGGCAATTATAAGCAGAGGTAAGGCCAAAAAATACTCTGAAGGAAAAGACGATTCAAGGATTCAGCTTTTAAGAACTACACAGATAATATTAAACAGTTACTGAGTCGAGTCAGGACTGCAAGGCAAGCAAAACCGAAAAGGGACATGAAGGAACCAAGAGAAAACTGAGTCAGAACCAAACTGAAATATCTTTGTCACTAGATGGGAACAGAGTTAAAATACTGTCTCTTTGGCTTTATTACCAAGTGAAACAAACAGTATATTTATTTTCTTATCAACACTTTAGAATTGCCATGACACAAGTTGGTTGTTTAAAAACTACAACATCCATTTTGTTCTTTGTCACCTTTAAGATTTAATATGTATCATACTGGAAACACTTTTCCTAGCTGATATGGAAGTTTAACACAAAGACCTAACACCTTAAAGTATTCTGACAGACAGTAAACAATTATACTTCCTAACTTGTACAGAGCAAATATACTCTGAACCAATGTTTTGACTTTCATTACATATCCAAACAGAGTTTCCTGGCTGATAAGGTAATCCCTATTATCTTAAAGGTTTCCCTCCTCATAATATCAAATTCCCATTTTTTATAGGCAAAAAAGAAACTTACGCTGCATAAGCCTTAGCAATCCTCATGAACATAACTTCATCTCCTCCTTTATCTGGATGGTACTTTAGCGATAGTGCACGGTACTGTTTCTTAATTTCAGATATACTTGCTCCCTGAGAAAGAAAAGTTTTGAGTTTATTAATAAACACTTCAAATCAGATCCAATCTTATATATATATTCTAATGTACACTGTGCAATATTTCTCTGAACCATTCACTGAAGAATTATGTTCTAATATATAATCATGACATTACATATATATTTCTATACACATGGAAACATGATTATTTTTCTAATAGCATTTTTATAACCATTATATTTTTAAATCAAGTTAGAAGTCACAGTCTAACAAAAAGACATTCAGATGACTCGGTATTGCTTTTTTGTGGATTACTTTGTTAAACCATCCATAGAAAAAAAAAAGTAAGGCCTTCTTATCTGACAAATCTTATCTTTTCCTAAAAATATTCATGAATACAAAGAATTCTCACTTGCAGTATTCTTCTATTTAAGCAAGAGTTCATACATCAAGTATGATGGTTCACTTGCAGCTTGTAGGCAGAAATAAATCTGTCAGTCACTGGGAACAGCAAATTTGCCCTGCTGCTTAAGAATGCCTTTGACTAGAATCATCCTACCCATAAATTATTTCAAACTTCTTGAACAAAGGGAATACATTACCTGTATCTGAGAAGAGACCAATTTTTATTCTACCATAACATGCCATGAAATGCCACCAACACAACCTCCTGTGCATTAACTTTCAGGTTGGACTGTGAACTTCACTACCCAAGAAAACCCACAAAACTTTACAGTAAGTGCAAATAAAGTTTTTCTAGTAAGCTATCTGCTAAGTTTCACAGAACCATTACCACGGGACTTTTCAGTATTTTGTGATAGAAAGGTCTAGCATGCTGACTTGTTAAAGTCAGTTGTATAAGTTAGAAGTTATATGTCAGCATAGCAAACACACAAGAAGTTATTTAAAGATTATGGTACCATTTCAGTAAATTTAAACCAGAAATTGAACTACCCTGAGGCCTCATTTGCTGTTAACTTTATCTCTCTTTATACAATGTGTCCATCATTTTCCAACACTATTTTTCAACAGCATGCCTTGCCTCATTTAATGCACAGGATGAATTTACTCTATAATAAATTAGACTTCAAGTAAAAACAGCTATTTCAAGACTAGATGAAGAATGCCAGATGAGGCGCAGAAGCTGGAAAGGGGGTGGGGAGAGAGGAAAAAAAAAAATAAAATCAGGTTGCTGGAGAAGAGATGGGTTTTCATGGCTCACATGAATGCAGCCCATAAAAAAAATACTATTTTTTTCTCTCTGCCATAAAGGGTGCATGTGATCCCTGACAAGCTGATGACAAACTTTCTATCTATCATTAATTGCTTTTCAAAAGCTAGGCTACAGAGGTTAGGCCTGACTTACAGAAATGCTTAGTAGCCTAGTGTGTGGCGTCACTTAGCACTACTTGGAACACAGAGCTTCCTTATATTAAGTACTTACAAAAAAAAAAAATTAAGGTCCTGACTGTCTGTCTTTAAGAATCCAAAATTATAATCAGTTTTGAGCTTCATCGTTATGCCTTGGATTCCACCTCTAAAATGGCAGTAAGAATACTTACTCAATGAATCAGTAATAATATCCGAGTGCCTTACGCATTAGTGAATTCAAGTCATGTGCTTCAAAATGAGCTATTCTACATTCAAAACAAAGTGCTCATATTATATATAAAATAAGGTGCATGTACATTATCTGGACTTTGTTCATGTTATGGTTCTCCTCTGGAGAAAAAAGCCTCTTGTTATAAGTTGATACAATAACGTAAGATGATAAAATAATCTCTGTCACAGTGTAAATGCAAAGAAGCAAATGAATTATTGTGTACCAAAACTTTCAAGTGCTTACATCTGTAACTTTTTTTACAAAAAAAAAATTTTGAGGTTTTTGGGTTGTTTGTTTGTTTGGTTTTTTAACAGCAACAACAGTTCTATTATCTAAGAATGCTTCAACATCTGCATCACTTCAACATCAGCAGGGCTGGCAACAACTCTAAAGGTTCCACTTGAATGGTAACAGAAGAAAGCTGTTAACTTTCATGTAGTCTGAACTAGAAGTTTTTCAAGGGGATTTAACACACAATCCAATAGCACAGAAATACCAAACTCTGGAATCTTGGACTCTATTTTGAACCCTACTTCAGTGGATCTATCTTCACACTCATCTCTAACCGCCTTGTAACATCTCTGATTTAATTTAGCTTGTCCTTACGACAGCATGTTTCATCCCTCTATCAGTTCCTGGAGCATTTCAGTATTGGTTTCTTTGCCTGGATAAGCTGCACATGTCTAAACACCCTTTTTTCAGGGTTGTTACTTGCAGAAATTTGCCAGAGACGACAGAAGAAAATCCTCTGATGACCTAATCCCTAAGCCTGATTTGTTTAGCTCAGATATATGAATATTTAAACTGCCCGGTTCCAACAGATAACATTCAATAGTAAAACTTTATCTTGTTCCTGTGCGACAGTGAGAGAACACAAGTCAGCAATCAGACATTCACAGAGGAACTGAGCAGAGGTTGAATTTAAATTACTTGTCTCCACACACAACAGGCAGGTCTTTTTCTACCTGTCTAGCTAGAAACAGGCCAAAGTCTACTTATCTGCTATAATGGCTTTCTTAGCATAGAAAAGCAGTACCAGTGATGCCTATCCTTATGCTGACAAGCCACATCACTAATGGCAAGAAATGTATTTGTTAACATTCACATACATATTAAGCTCTCCTACACTAACAATATATATTAAGTTTAATCAAAACAAGTATATTCAAAGTTCTTCCATGTTCTTGTGCTGAACTGTATCCACAGCGTACTTCCTTAGACCAGAGAGTAAAACATACCTCAGACTTCAGAACTGAAAAGATGAGGTGTGTTTGCCTCCTTGGGATATATAACATTTTACATCCATTTTGAATCAGATATTCAATATAAATAAAGCACTGCATCCGTTTTCTAGATAAACACTACAACTTTTTCCCAGTTTAACAAACCAACTGGCTGGTATCACTATTTAGTGTTTGTTGTTTGCCTTCACAGATACAACTGTGATTCAAGTTAACCTTCACTACATCAAAATATGCATCACTAACATCCTTTAGTGAAACATCTCGTTTACAAGAGAAATATTGCTGTACCAGAACTGTAAAGCAAATGAATCCACATTCTTGTTTATACAGTTTATTCAGCACATCCTTTAAAATGGCTATTGAGAAGATTTTCACAGGGAATACAGAGCAGAATTGCTTTTCTGTTTTTCTGTTACCGAGCAAGGAAAACAACATCAGAGTAAGAATCAAAACAGATTAAAAAGCCACATCTCACTGGACTAAAAACGTCATTAGAATTTTGAAGGAGTTAGATATAAACATTATAAATTAGTACAGATATAGGCAGAGAATATCTACCAACTGACTTTACAATATACAGCAGCAACTTTCAGATGCCAGAAAACCACTAAACACATTCACTATAGTTAAAAAAACAAGCCTTAAGTTTGACATCTAGACATAGAATATACAGTTGTAAGTAATACAGACTAGCGAAAGATGCTATTACTTACAGGATCCAAATGTAAAACCTCATAAGGGTTATATTCTTGATATTCTCGGTCCGTTTTGGAAACTTTGTATGCAAGAAACAAAAATAATGCCCAGCCAGCAAGGAGGACTATTTTCCTGTTTGGAAGAAAGAACTTTTTAATCCACTAGCTCTAGCATAATTCTACAAATAACATAAGAAGCCATCTGATATCAGTCTTCAAGAACCAGTATTAAAATAGCGATAAATATTAAAGCCATTTTGAAGCTGGTATGAGTATTTCAGTTATAACACCACCTTAGACACAGATGAGACAGATGTTCTGACTTCTAATTAATTTTTTATCTTCAATAAAGACTCTTTCCACTCTTTAACTGTCTGTCCTCAGCATGTATAGAAGAGTATTTCCTATTTTTAAAGGATGACTTTAACCTGATCCTAGACAAAGTCCATGTTAAAAAAAAAAAAAAAAGCTGGAACAGATGCATAACAGACAGCAAAATATTTTGAGGGTGGGAGTAATAAACAAGAGAACTGAAGTATATAAAACCATCAACTTTGAACATACAAATTACTGTTGTATATTTGGATATGTATGTGTAAACATTAAATATTTAAATCAAAAGACATCACCATCACCACTAATTTCAGTGAGGGAGGATTATTTTTTGGAACAAATAAATGCATTGTTTACTTATTTATTAATGCTGAAGTTCACCAGTTTCATTTAGCAGATATTTTATAAAGGACAAACAGGGTCCATCTTGATTTCAAGCCCCACTAGATTAATAATGATTAACTATTAATTATTCAAATATAGCATATTGCAAACATCTCTTCTGTGACACAAAAGCCATTATTACATAACAAATTCCAGTCACTGATCACAAAAAAAATACTTTTTTAATGAAAATTAAAATGTAGGAATTTCTTTAAAAGTCATGCAAATGAAACATACTTTACTGTAGGAATTATGTTTTGTTGTGGTTTTAACAGTCGCAAACGATACCACAAGCATCTTCCATATACATTTCTTATATTCTTTAGTCGAATTTGCTCTATAAAAATAAAGAGAAAGATTGTGATTAACCAATCTGACAAAAAAAAAAAACCATAATGACAAACATGCTCACTTCATCCTGGAGTAGGTTGTACAAGGTCAACTGGTAGACTAACGAAACATCCAGCAACATTGGAAGAAAGAATGATTTTTTACCCATTTATGTGACACTGCACATACATTAACATAAGAATCCATTCTGGTTTCCACATGTCACATAATTAACTATCACTTATGAACTCAGCTTTTGTCTGGCTAATGTGCACCTGTAAATTTTACTTCTGCCATTTTATATTCCAACTCCAAGTTGTCTCCCATTTCAGTATGTCATCTACTGCATGCACAAAAAACAAACACCCAAAAAACTAGTCCACATGCAAACCAGTATTTGTATACAACTAAAGAGTGCAGCTAGAGCAACAGCTAATTCCTCAACTCAAAACACGATGCATTTTCCTCCTCTTTGAGACATCTGCCTTTTATAATTACCTTCATTTAGGATTTTCCTGTTGAAGGGGAAAAGGAAGGAAGACTAAGTTCATAGTTATTTGTAAGTCATGTAGCTCAGTAATGTGGGCCCTTGGCAAGACCGTATATGCATTAACAACAAACCAGCCAACAAGATTTCCTCCCATGTCCTTTCAGGACAGGATGGGGCTGGAAGGAAATTGTATTTATACTGTCAACATTACCATGACAGGGCACAGAAGCTCTCTCATAGTTGTACTTCAGAGTTAATCAAGAACAACTTACCCTTGGTCAAAGAAGTCTTTTATGCTAAGAAAACTATGGTGGAAAGCAAATAGCTTGTACAGAATTTCTGTAAGCACTGAAATGCTGTATTATAAAGTGACTTCAATCCTGTTTATATTTTAAGTAACTTGCCTATCCATACACTAAGCAGTCTGACCTGCAACACTTCTGAAGTGAGGTCACTATTACCTTTCCTGCAAAAGAATAAGGCCGCTTGGCCCTTTTCAGACCAACAGAGAAAGAACTAAGAGGAAAAAAAGTTATCCTGTCTCAATGCTTTTAAGATGCTGCTTGTGAACAAAGTAACTAAACTTGCCAATTTAAAAGAAGTTTGTGATTTATCTAATTGCAGGAATTATCTTAACAACTTTTATCCAAAGCATATGTCAATCAGATCCTAAAGTCTTAAATCTCAACTTTGCACTTCTAACATGGCAATGCCCTCATCTTAACTAAAACAGCAGTTACAATACATGGAAACAATTTTCTTTAGCAAGTTTCCAAAAGGTGATTGTGGAAGACAGTGACAACCTCTGTCTGAAGATATTGAGAGGCAGGGTATGGAGCTCAGTGATCTACTTGAATTCCTAAGCAAGCAAGCCAATTCAGACAGAACATCCAGATCTTCAATTTGCAGTCACCAAACCATCTGAGTCCAGAGAAACATGACCATAAATGCCAATACTGTGAGCCAGATCAACCACGAGTTCAGATTTAACCCAGATCAGATGAGAGCACAGGACGGTATTTTAAATTCTGTCTGATTTGGCAGAAATAGAGTGGGAACACAGATGACACATGGCCACCCACAAACTAGCAGACATACATTAAAACTTGCAGAGACAATGTATCAGAACCAGAAAAAATACATTGGTTTATTCTGAAAAACTCAATTCTAAAGTATATCTTCTCCAAAACTCACTAAACAGCTTGATAGGATTCCTTGAGAAGATTAAATTAGTCTCCCCCTAAAGAAGGAGAGATGGAGATAAGGGAGGACAGTTCCCTTGTGTCCAATCCAACTCTTGAAGGGTTTCAAAATAAGTTTCCAAGCTTGTCTCACAATTTTGTGCAACAGAAACTACATAAGTATTTTGCTGTTCTCCTGATCTGCAAAGTGTTCATATACTTAAAACAGGCACTAAACATGAAACTTTCTAAACAAAAAATATATATGACTAATATGCAGCAACTGCCCACTTAGTTTCACTTGTGTAAGGCTTTAGAAAGGACTGTGAAAGAAAAGTTCAGAAGACAATGAAAACAGGGTCAAAATGCAACACTAACTCCTTACTGGTAAAATGCAAATTAATTTAGTGCTTTCTCTTTGCAATTTTTTTTTTCTCTAAAGAAAAAAAATTATGGAAGATCTCTATCAGTTCAGAACTGGACCGACCACAGCTAGAAGTGAGCTAATTGTTAAACTAAAATTTTTAATGCAAAGCTAGAGACATTACCAGCACATAGAATTGGCATTTCAAAAGAAGATGATGGCATTAAAGAAACAGACAATTAAATTATGAGGACTAAAAAGCTCTGCTACAGAAGTTGGGAGGAAATTTTTCTGGGGGTTTTAAATGGTCACTGGACAATTATGAGCCATAGCATGAAGCTTTCATGAAAAAGTCACCAATGATACTTGATCAAATCAGGCATCACAAACCCCACAGAAGACACATGTGCTTATGCTAAGCATAGATCGCTCATTTCAAATATTGTCCACAAATTCAATTATGCAGTGCTGAAGCTAGATGAAGCCAACTGTTTGGTTCAACCACACTGACCCAAATCAGCTACCTGATCCAATCTGTATCACAGCCCCACAGACACCTTTGCAGCACAACCAAGAGGCAGTGCTGTTTGGTAACAACTGTCTTAACAGACTGCGCTGCTTGCAGAAATACCTAAAACTAATATGATAATGGATTACCAATGCTCTTGGAGAAAAAATGGTGACTAAGAGAACTTTGTTGACTTAAGCCTATAAAACTAAGCCTAACAGGATATGACTCCTTTCAGTGGTTTTGCTGGATGTTTTTAACAAGCTGCTGTACCTTGTCTTCAAAAATCTGTGCCACCCTGTGACACGATGCCCCAGTTCTCAGACCTGCCTACTGTCCAGCCCTGCAAATACCAGACGACCCTTGCCTTTCCCCCCTCTGCATCCTCCCCGAAAGAACAGCCAACAATGCTTCATCTTACCATGCCAAAAAGCTTCCCAAAGGACTTAGGGGAAGGCAGTGTAAAGAAAAATAGTTGTGCAAGGTAAACTAAAGAGTTGTCAGTTTTTATTTGACCTTATGCCCATAGGGGAAAACGAGGCTAGACACTAAAGGTGACTTACAATAACCAGAGAACAGAGGTTTTGGAACAGACTTCCAGTAACAGCTGCAGGAGTCACATTATGACCAGACAATAAAGGGGAAAAATAAAAAGCAAACCAACACCAAAACGAGTGGTGTGAGCAAGTGGTGTGAGCAAATATTAAGCATTTTTGATAGGCAAACAGCACACACCTAAGACCTGAAAATTATGTCCTGGAATGCTGCATAGGGGGACATCTTCAGACAAATACCAAAATTAAGGCATGATGCTAAGCAGCATATTTTTTTTTTTTTTTTTTTTTACACACACATCTGAACTACTCTAGATCAAATCTAATTACAGTTGATTAAGCCATACCAAAGCAAAAGCACCTCATTAATTTATTTCTGATCTTGGGATGGTTAATTTGATTAACAACCCCAAAAGGAAACAGGCCACTAAAGATGAATGACTGTTTATAGTTATCTGTCCGGAACATAAAGAGAGAATCAAATCCTTCCCAAATTGAGTCTAAAGTCCAGACTATTCAAATTATTCAGAGCTATCCTGAGGCACTTCCTCTGTCACATGTTATCATTAACGCATATTAACTTGTGGAATTCAAAAACAGGCAGCTACTTGGGAGAAAGAAGGAATACAAACAGCATCACTCCCAGTTTAGGCAGAAAGCCACTGGCAAAATATCACCCTGAGTAAGGAAGATGTATTCCTGCTGCATCCAGGAAAAAACAGGCTTCCTGTTTATTTACAGCCAATGTATGTGATTGCACCAAAGAAAATACTTATCTTGTTAGGAAGAAATTGGTCTTGGGGAAAAAAAAAAAATGGGAAGGGGGGCTAGCAAGAGCCAGAACACTGGATAATTACTGTGCTTAACAAAAGCAGCAATGTATTCCTAATGAGCAAGTTGTGGATAAATCAGGTCCTTTTTTGCTTTCCCTTCCTCTCCCAAGGAGCTTCCTTTCACACAATTGGATTTGCCATGCCACAGAACTGGCACACTGTCCCTGCAATACCCTGCAGACCCCAGAACACACAGGAGTAAATACATCACATGCCTCTCAGGGTAAAGCTTTCCAGTGTAATAGGAATTGTACTTCCCTTTGGTTTTTAGCTCTGGAATCCTTGCTCTGTCAGGGAAAGAGGTTCAGAGTCTGAAAATTCAGTTTTCTCTGTTTCTTCTCACTCCAGATTATGGTTACCCATTAAAGCATAAGAGAACTTCAGACACCATCCTTTGATGTAACCCTAGCACAGATAAGCTATTAATAGCTGAGAAAAAAAGTTCACTTGTATACTAATCTGATTGCTACTTTTGGATGAAAATAAAGTAATTAACAAGTATTTTAGACTTTTTCTTCCTTAAAAGTAGATGTTCATTTAGCTACTTACCTTAATTAGAGAACTAGAAAATGACTACAGATCACCGATTCATCTGTAAGTTTGAGACACAATCAACTTTATGTTGAATCCAAAGAGATATTCAACATCAAAATGACAAGCTCAAAGCAATTATTAAAAAAAAGGAGAAAACAAAAAGACCATCTTTGACCTTTACTTCATTTATTTGGTGACTAAAGGTTTAGGTTTTTTTACGTTATGCCACTTGAATATCCAGGTCTTTAGATAGAGTGATTTTAGAGTCACTACACCAGAAGCATCGGATTTTTCTATGTGTGTAACCCAGAACATACAGTTCTTGGGTATCACAGAACAGTGGAACATTTGAGGTTGGAAGAGACTCTGGAGATCATCTAATCCAACCCTGCTGCTCAGAGAAGCATCAACAAAGCAAGTTGCTCAGGGCTCTGGCTGTAGGACTCTGAATATGTGCAAGGACGGAGACCCCAGTCTCTCTGGGCAACCTGTTCTAGCATTTGATGACCCTCATCAGGCAAAAAATTTCTCACATCTGTCTCA